ACTAGTTCTAGGGTAGATGTAAGGATTGAATGCACCTCTTTGGAACACAGCTCCAGCTTCTTTATGCGTATAGAGAAGATCTTTGCAGTTCACAGAAATCAGGAACTTACTCTTCTCGGTGGATTTTTTTTTCAAGTGTTAGTTTCCAGGGATTGGATTATTTTTAATGTAAACAACCGAGTGAGTTCAGTTAGAGAACCGTTACAAACCAGATCGTACTAAATAGTTGTTTCGTCCTAGCTTGGGGGTCTTCAGTAGCACCCACCTATGACTCTGCTAGGGAACTCTTTTTACTCGTTAGTGACTCTAAATAATTAAATCAACTAACTGTTTAGTAATGACGCAACGCGTTATAAAATCTTCCCTGGATAAGATGTACCAGCGTTATATTCTAAGTATTATTATTATTCCCTTGGGTTCCAAGGAGAACATAGGGCTGCAGCAGCATCTCTCAATTTCATTCTGTTTTCTGTTGACGTTTCTAGTTGGTCCCATCATCGTCTATAAGCTCTCATCTTCTTCCTAGTCGATATACACTATGTCAACCTAAGTCCCATACCCAACTCATCGTTCCCCATTAGGGATCTATTCGAGAGCCTATCATGTGATTCCACTCAACTGTATCCTTAGCGTGTGTCCAATTCATCTCCATTTTGTTCAATAGACATATTGGGCGAAAGGTAGTTGGTTGGTTCATTACCAAGATTCCTTTTTGTAGCTAATCCTTTCTGGCCTGTCATCTGATCTTTAGTAACAAGAGAAGGCATCTGCTGATAAAAGTGTTCAGACTGTTAGAAAGGCTTTTCATGATTCACACGTCAAGTCTTTGAATCATTCAGATCCACTGAATGACTTGGAATTAGTGTTGAAAATCCAAATCTTGTTTTTTTTTAGCTTAATGCAGTGGATTTCCAGACTGGTTTTAGATTAATAAAGGTCTCTCTTGCCTTTCTGAACTTGTTTTTGACACTCTTGTCCATTTTCCCTGTAGTTAAAACAATTCTGCCTAGTTAAGTGAAGATGGTAATTTGCTTCATACTTCTGCGATTGATAGTGGTTCATGACTGTTGTTGTTGTCGGTTAGATATCTTCATCGCCTCTGCCTTTTTCTATGTTCTGTCTTCGTAAATTTTTAACAAGTACATGTAATTTTGATAGCCTTATCAGAAGACGCAAGTTGTCTGATCACACACGTCTATTTGTCAAGTCCAGCTAACTTTCATTTCTTGATTTTAATATAAACGAAGTCGCTTTATTGGTCATTTCAATCCGTACTATGTCGGATAAAAGACCCAACAACAACAGAAGACTAAACCGACACCAGCTATAGGACAGTTTTCATCAACTGTGGGAAAAACTATATTAGACGCAAACCCAAATAAGACAGTATTATAGTTAGGCGTATACTATGTCCGATCTCTCATATATATACATCCCTAGTTTATTCATTCTGTTTTCTGTTGACGTTTCTAGTTGGTCCCATCATCGTCTATAAGCTCTCATCTTCTTCCTAGTCGATATACACTATGTCAATCTAGTCTGTAACTTTTTAGCAATATGCACTCATGATCCCAAGCAGGGATCGAACCCCATGGCACTTAACTAATCAGTTGAATGTATCAGAATCATAACGGTCTTGAATACTAACTTCTGTCATTTTGGTAACATAGTGTTATTATTATTCCCTTGGGTTCCTAGTGGAACATAGGGCTTCAACTGCACGTCTCCACTTGCTTCTGTCTTTTGCTGTACTTTTCGCCTACATCCATGTTAGTTAGTCCATACTGTTTCAACTCCTCCTCTCACTATCTCCTCCATGTCTCCCTTGCACCGACGTCCCACTCACCGCTTCCGTTTCGGCCTGGTTCCACTCAAGCAATAGCCTGACGCGCGCGCGATGTCATCCAGAGGCGGCCTCCTCAGCGAGTAGTGTCCAATCCATCCATCTCCACTTTCTCCTGCATATTTGTTGGGCGATTGATTGGTTCTTGTTTTGTTTCTTCCCAGCCATGGTTTTTTGTTAATGATTCTTTCCGACCCGGCCGGCCATCTGATCTTCAGTATAGATCCAGCGAAGACAGTTGTTCGTTGATGAAGGTCTGCGACAAGCTGTTGAAAATATTCTTTGTGATCTGTCCGCCAATTTTCTGATCTGTATAGAAGAACTGACTGACTTGACGTTTGTATTGAAAATCTGACCTAATTTTGTTGTTGATGCTGGCTGAGTGACGAAGATTTCCAGATTGGTTTCAGGTTGATTGATGAATGTGTTTCTCGCCTTCCCGATTCTCGCTCGATTTGAAATCCTCCTGTAGTTGAGACAATACTCTCTAGATAAGTGAATGAAGTAACCTCTTTCAAATCCCTGCCGTTGATGGTGATTGGCGCTGGATGTTGCTATTGTTGTTGTTGTTAGGTGGTTATTTTCATCAAAGACTTCCAAATTACACTGGATTGTTGGCTGGTGAACGCACTATAGTCGGGCTGAATATAGTCATCTGTGTAGATATATTGGTCTGGGAGGAGATACTCTAACTGAGGCAAACCTTGTCAACTATTGGTACACTTCTTTATCTCAACTGTCAGTGACTATGTTAGACTGCTTAGTCATATAAGCACATGGTATAATACAATTAATTGACTTATGTGTTATCGTGTGATTAAGGAATATTCATTGTGTAAAGAATTATTATAGTTACTGGCGGCCAACAGAAGGAGTCGAACACATTCATTCCTCCATATTTAGGACTCTGTAGCCGTTAGGAGCTTTTTGATCCAATATAATCAATCAAAGTATCTTGAACAAATAAATACTCATCCTTCTCCCCATCCCCTGTGCATTGGAGGTGCCTGTTGTGAATCAGTGACTTGCTGGATAATGCTTTGGCGTTTGAAATGGTGTGTGATGGCGAAGTTTTCGATCTCAGTGAGAATACCAATGATCACTTAAGGTGTAGTACAGTTACATCCATCTGACGAGTCTCAAATTGGAAGAAACATGCATCCTAGATTTGACAACTAGGTGCTCCCAATGAGGTGATAACACGCTTATCTTAAAAAGTCGTTAAAGGATCCATACTGAATGCATGCTTGTTAACAGCGACTGACCATCCCAGCCCGATATAATCAGTCGACAAGAGATTTAAAATAACTTTAGAATACTGTTAAGAGATATTCACTAAGTCTATACAGTGATGAGAGGTATTCGATTTACCCCTTATTACAGTGCCGTCAATATTAGATGAATAATGCGACTGAGTCAGCCCATGCAAGTCTTGTTCGTATCTGAAACTAAAATCAACAATATGATGTTTACATGGATTTAGTCTAAGACCATTTGTTAATTTCAGACAAGAATCTATTCGTATAAGAAGAATCCAAAGCAGAAGCTACTGGGACAGAAATGGCTAGATCGTCGGCATATATAATGAAGTTAGCTGTGGAAGGTCATGCAAAAAGAGAGAAAAAGGGAATGGAGAGAGTACAGCGCCTTGAGGAACACCAGTTTCCATAAACGAAAAAGTACAGCGCTTCCCATAAACGAAAGGCAAATCGAAGAATCCACTACCAGCCACCTTAAACAATTAACTTGAATTAATTACTACCACAATGATTATTTTCTATAGCCAGTTTGTAAGGATTAGATTTGTTTATACGAGTTTGAATACACCTTGATATCAGTTAGAGAACCACTGAGAACCAACTGGACAGCTGTTACATTCTAGTTTCCTGGGAATCATCGTCAATAGGCATCCACCACCACAGGCCTTACAGTTACAAGGCAAGCTCGTATACCATTCATCCACTCGGACCCTGTTCCTTAAAGGCTAGTCCATGAATTTTAACCTCTACCAATACGTGATTTTTGTGCAACCACCAACCAGTATCTCTGGCGTGAAATCCATCCTCAAACTTGACTGGATAAACCTCACTGGTCACAACTTCTCACTAGAACTCCAGGAAACTCTGTCCTGCACAACAAGTCACTAGCAAGCATCAGATTAACGGTACACGAGCTTGCTTTTTAACCCAAAGGTCCTGGGATTCGAACCCCCGTGGTGGTGGATGCGTAGTGTTGGTGATTCCAAAAAAACTAGGATGAAACAGCTGTTGGCAGTACTCCAGTGGTGGTTTTCAATGCTTCTCTAACTGATATCAATCCGTGACCAACTATTATTATATTATTAATACTGAGAGCAGAGCTTAGAAACCGATGATGTGCATAGGTAAATTTTTACTAGTCTCTTTCACACTTTTCTGAATTTAATCAGTTACACCTTTATTTTATAAATAATTCGTTTAGGAATATTTTATCTAATCAGCCAAAAATGAATGTGAATAGATGAAAGTATTTGGAATTCAATAACAAAAACATTCACATACACATAAAAAGGCCTATCTTCTTGTGTAGTTGTATACAGTATACATTCTGTTATACAATAGTTATAAGCTAATCCTATTTGTAAATTGTTTCACACTTTATTTCAATCAATAAATAGTCTGATAGGAAAATAAGTGTGGGCGAGTTGATTGTACACATCACAAAAAGTATACACATACCATTTATACATTTATACATGTATTAGAGCCTGCCTTTCATTCTACTTTTCTTTAAACATCCAATATGATGTATGTACATGTGCATACATATAGATTTTTACATTTGACTAGTATTATACTACTGATGAAAAATAGATGAAGTGAATTGTGTTTATTGATTTTTTTCCCAAGGTGCATATCAATTGTGATTGGTCAATTGTAGTTACAGTCAGGCAGGGATAATTATTAACCAATAGTTGGTTGGTTAAATTTTCATATATTATAAGCGATCAGGTCAGCATTCGTTTATTGACGTTATCGTCGTCGTATTCACAGATACACGTATTCGTTATTTTTAGTTAACTACCGCGCTAACTATTTTCGATAATAATATATATATATAAATATACACACTTCTACTACTGTGACAAAGTATAATTACTCTCACTTTCAATTAACAGGAATCGTTATATAATTTGAAGAAGTAAGTTTTGCCCTTATTTTAAATCTATCTTCGAAATTCATCTGTTGAATATTACATATTATTATTATTATTGTGATTATTTATCATTATTACTACGATTATGAACAATTTCTGAATGTCGCTTTATAATGTTTCCATGCCTATATTTCCTTTGATTCCCTTGATCTATCCAGCAGACACGTATACAGTGCCTACATAGTCTTGAATTATGGATCCATCAGACCCAGATTTTAAATATTTGGGTGTTGATCGAAAAGCTCTGCTAAAAGAATTAGCCAGTTTTGATAGCAAAAATGTTATATGGGTTGAAGATGAGAAAGAAGGTTATGTTTTGGCTGATATCAAAGAAACTAGTGGAGATACAATTACTGTATCATTGAAAGATGGAAGTGTAAGTTGAATTACTTATTAACTAATTTACTTTTTTTACAAATTACTTTTAAATTCTGTAAATATTTCTATTAAAATTTCAACCATTCGGAATAATTTAATTCAAAAACTTAAACTACTTATTTTTATTGTTAGTAGTATGTGATATAAACATTAAGAGCACATCAAATTTGAAATACAATAGAAAGGATAATAGTAGATAGTTATGGATGAATTATTGATATTTTTAGAGGAGCACATTCTGTGCTTGCATAATACTGAGTGTTTACATCATGGTTGTTTGGTCTAGGATTGTCCAAGCAACTCTAGCATATACGCAAAGCTCTACATAGGTGATCGAACTAACGATCGCTATTCTGCGTGCTACTCTCCGTAACTTGTTTTATTCAAACAAATTTTTTTTCATGTTTCAATGTTCAACTTATCAAGGTTAACTGACAACCAATTCTTTCGAAAAACAATGATTAATATTGAGAATGTACTTCTGTGAATTCAAGGCTATAGATTATGGCAAGCCTTTTGTTTACAAATGTGTAAGGTGCAACTTAACAGCAGGGAATTTATAGAGTTAGAAATAAAATTATTCAGTGAAGGGACTTTTTTCTGTAACTTCTAAAGTGTGTACTGCTGATTGTCTTATATGAGTAGTAGGGCAGCACCGACATGAACTAGTAGTGCTTACCAGATCAAATTGATGTAAACACTACTAGACTGCCGTTTCACTTGTTTGGGGTCGAAGCCATCAGAGGTGTACTCAGTTTGACTTCGTTTAGGCAACTGAATTGTTTTCAAATAACATCCGATTTGTGGCTAGCTACCTGGGTGAAATGATAATTCCATATTATTAAATTAGCAGTTTACGCAGTTCGAGGAGGTGGAATTTCACCTCATTCCCCTGAAATTATTCAGATAACACATAATATGTGATCTGCTTAATGTCGTAAATGGTTATCAAGAAGGCAAGCATATATGTATATATATATGATAACTTCACTTTGAAAACTGTGTGAATAACATACTGCGGAGTTCTTAGAATGCATTCTACTGAAAAGTGCTTACTCCTTGTGCGTAGAATCGTTTTAAGTATTGTCGAGGCATTCCCATGGGAAAAATCCATTGTCCAGTAGGTTGAAACCTATTTGAAAACAGACATGAGTATAGATTATAATTCAAGGCGGTAAATTGGTAATTCAAATTCAGAATGAGATAGATAGATAGATGAAAAGGAGATACAGTTTGATGGATAGAAAATTAGGCAGTTTAGTGGTATAAACAGGTCACCTGGAAAGAATCTCTACTGATTTTTGTATTTCACTGTTTAAATGGGTATACTATTTTTTATCATATTCTCTAAAAGGAACATCTGGAAGATTCCACTTTTTGTTATTTTTCTTTGCATTTGATTCTTTTGTGTTTTGAGTGGAACATTTAGCTTTAAACTTTAAGCTGTGGAATTTTAAGAACGGGAGGGGGTTTGCTAGACTCACTCTCAACCTACACTCTCTTTACCGATCGATCTCAATGCCAGTTAAAAGCGAGGCTCAGTTGTGTGTTGGCTGGGAATCTAACCACAGACCACGTGCATGATTGTGATGGTGATTGTTCTACCACTGAACTATCGATGCACTAAGATGATTCCACTAGCATACACTTACATTTTAGTATAGTATATAGTTAATTGCTGAGAATAACAGAGGATTCGATTTTTATCGATGATAACTCTTTACCTTTATTAAGTATACATGCATAAAATAGTCAACTAAACCATTGATCCCACATGTCCACTTGAAGACAACTTCAAGTTGACACCCGGTTAAAACAAACTGAAATATTTAAACTTAGATGGTATATAATAATCGTAATGAAAATGAAGTCTAGCCTTCATCATTACGTAATAGATTGTCTCACAGATAGCACAAATAATCAATGAAGGTGACTCCACAGCTTGCACTGACAGTTAGGATATCTATAATACAAGCCATGAATATCACAGTGGGAGCAAAGTTTACATGATGTATACATCTGAGCATTGCAAATACTACTACCACTACGACTACTCAAAACAAATTACAAATTATCAGTGATCAAGTCATGCTGTCTCTCTCCCTCTCCATACTTATTTTTATTTTAAATTTTCTTTTTATCTAGGAGAAGAAAGTTAAGAAAGATGATGCTCAACAAGTGAATCCACCGAAATTCTTCTTAATTGAAGATATGGCTAACTTAACCTTTTTGAATGATGCATCTGTATTGGAGAATTTACGCGCCCGTTACTACAGACAACTGATTTATGTAGGTTGATGTATCTCATTTTGTTTTTTTTTGGTTATTCTTGTTTGAAATTCTTATCATTATTTATTTGTTTATTAGTTTATTATTATTCCCTTAGGTGAAACAGTGAACTTTAATAGTGCATGATCATATTATCTTTAGTTGGTTGCAACATTGCCCACTAGCGTATGTCGCCTTCTGCACATCATCCTCGGAGTGATGTCGAACTCGTCTTCTCTTGTTTGGCTTCCACTCGACAGACTGATATACAGTGTCACTTAACGGCCCCACTCGGCGTATATTCTATTTCTATCTTGATTCCCTTCAGCGTGTCTGTCGGGCAGTAGGTTTCCTGGTAAACGTCTTCCTTTAATATCTAACCAGTCTTGGCACTTGTTTTGCTACGATCCTTTCCTGGTACCGGGTTTAGGGTAATCAAGAATGCTCTAAACCCGGGTGAAGGCTCACCATTCCACTTCGGTGGGTTGAAACTCGCGGTGGACCCCATTTCGGGTGCGCTCGGGCGTGTAGTTTTTGTTGGTGCGTCGGTGGCACAGCGGTTAGGATGCTCGCTGACCATGCACATGGTCCAGAGTTCTATCCCCGGTCAACGCTTCACCTGATATCTATGGCGGGCCTACGAAATTTGGGATACCTGTATCACATGGTAAAAATTCCATACTTGTATCACAAATACGATGTGGAGTCAAGCTATAATCAAAAAACGTTTAACAACTTGATGCAACCATAAGAGTTTCAATGGAACATAGTTAAAATAGTGAAGTATATATATATATCTTAGGCTACAATTGGAAAGCCTACACAAGGCAAAATTGACTCGACAATAATAATAATTTCTCACTTCTTTGTACATGGGGAATACAAGTTCACAGATATCATCAGTACGTTCAAAGAGAAAATATGGTGTAATCCTACTCAGAACTACCAATGTTCATTAATGTTCTTATAACACAATATAATACAGTTAAGACATTGGTAATGAAAAATTGCGATATGTTAGTACTATTCACAGTTTTATTTTTATTTTCATTGCACCTGCAAAGAGTTCCGATTGCATCATCAAATGTCGAACTGTAGGAGTTTACAACACTGATGTATTGACGTTACATTGTATGCTCTTAGTGTATCTGTGTAACTGAATGACTGTATGAAATGTATTCAATACACGTTGAGTATTTTCAAAAAATATAGTTAGTGAAAACAACTGTAGAAGTCGATAAAAATATGATTTTTTAAAAATCAGATCCATTATTACTAATATTATCATTTTTAGTATTTATTCCTCGTAGGACGCAGGGCCTTAGTCATACATCTCTATTGTACTCACCACTCTGTTATTGCCTTCAACTAAACGACTACCTAGAAGCTTTAATTCTCTCTTCACATGATCTCCTTCATGTCACCCAGCCTCAGGCATGAGAATTATCACTTTCCATTCGAGTTCTACTCGGGGTTACAGTATCTTCCGTGACAAAAATCCTTCACTTGATTACGTAATTACATCAATTAGGAATCAGCTTAAATTCTTTAGGATAATTGATATAAGTATGAAACTTGTACACTGTGGTAGAGTAATAACTCCATTATGGAAATCCTTTAGTGTTTGCCACGATTTTCCATTCTGTGAGAATAGAGCAGTTCTCTTATTTTTCATATATCTTTTTTTGTGTTTGACTAACCCATGAATTAAATGTATTTTCCATAATAATAATTATTTTCAGTTTGTGTTTTTGTAATTCATAATTCTGGAGTGTTAACACCATTATCTACAGAAATAAAAAATATCAACTGGTAATTTATATTTAAAAAGTAAAGTATTCACTAGAATTGGTTAGAACAATGCTAGATGAGGCATTGGTTCCCTTCTAAAGATGCCTGGAATAATCTTTAGACATTGGCTGAATGTCATTTGTATACATGTCTAAACCAAGTTCATATTTAATAGTTTGAGAGAAATTTTGCATTGAGCATATCATATCCATTTTTTAAAAATTCTTCTAAGTTCCCGGTGGAACATAAGGCTTCAATCTAGAGGCTTGAAGTTTCGGTAGCAGTGATGTTTATTTTTAGCCTCATGCTAAACCCTCCTTCTTTACCAATCTTATTACTGGCTTATCGAGGTAAAGGAGTGCATCGATCGGGGATTAAACCTCGAACTCCATATATGGTCGGCGAACATTCTACCACTGTGCCACCGACGCAAAAGCAGGACATTAGAAAACCTAAATAATGAAGTTAAACAAATAGAAGAAATGTTGGTGCTAAATAACCAAGCCTTAAAATTAACTACGAAGATCATCAAGAAAAGCGAAAATGTAGTAGTAGTAGGGTGGTGAGAGCTGGCTGCTAGCCAAGATTGGTAGACAGTAATTTACGTGAATGTGTACGTTCCCAATATTGGTCGTGAGAAAATTAAGGACAAAGACTGATACAACAACCAGCCACAGCAGACTCTGCGTAGGCAAATACAATTTGCAGGCAGATAATCTGAACTTCAAGAAACGGTCATAAAGAGATGAAAGATTAACGTTCAGCGAGAAAGCACCAATTAGAAGACTGTGTTTGTTTCCTTAAAATAATCTATAATAATATACATGAAAATCTATAAATATCTGTTGATTTCGTAAATGGAAGATCTGTTGCTTGGCCCTTGTCTTCTGTTGTTACAGTAGAACTAACGACGATAACATAAACAAGAAAGAATTCAATACATCTATAGTTTTAACATTTAAAGAAGGGACACATGAAATCTTATGTGGAATGCATAACAGAGCAAGAGTTTGGGTAGTACTAAAACATAAGCCTTATGAAGAAGAAGAAGGCTCTGTAGGCTAGAGGACCTTTTGTTGACCCGATTAAGCACAAAAAAGAACTGAAACTATAAAATACCTTGCAATGAATTTCACATCAGGTATGCAGGTCCGAACAGTAGGTCATAGACAGTTATGTTATCGGAATATAAGAATTTATCTGAGAGTAGACTGACTGAAATCAAATAATGAATAGTTCATAGAAGAACTCACCAAGTGTAATGCAGGCACCAACTTATAATCACACAAAAGGATAGCGGATAGCTAGAGTTCCAGAAAAAAGATATAAGTGGGCTAAAGGAGAGAGACAACCAAATTATTCTGTGACAGAATTCTTCTATACCACAGTGCCGATTTCTATTCTTATATGTGATATTCATTATTATTAGAGTTTTTCTATTTTACAATGAATAGAAAGAAAAGATGGTGTCATTGGTTTTACTGATTATTTTCAATTTAGAGAAAAATAACTTTTATTTCACCGCCAAAATCATAAGGTCCTAATTTTAAATATCTAATACTGGTTAGAGAAATGTCCAGACTAAGAAGTGCTAGACAGCTTTTTGTTCCCTATTTTGGTCTCTTCAGCAGTAAGAACCCATGACCTGAACAGGGATAGAATCGTGGGCCCATAGGTTACAAGACGAGGTTATTGGAAAATCAGAAACTCAAACGAAATCCAATGGTCTATGAATACTAATTTCGACTAACTCGCCACATGCTGTACTTCCATTAAATTCTATCACAGTGGCTCAGTTTTCAATCAGCTCGCCTCGTAAACTGAAGGTCCTGAATTTAGACCTCCACTGAGATCATTAGTACATTCTGAGAAAGAGTCCCAAACAAGGAGAAAAAAACTGTCAAGTACTCCTTATTTTTTGATGCTTCTCTAAGTGAATGCTAATCAAAACCCTGTAAACTGAAACTTGGAAATTAAGTCTTAAATTATTTTGCCTGACACAAACTTCAAATTGTTCAAATTTTATTACAATTTTTTCTTCAACCTTTTAACATTATAGACTTATTCAGGACTTTTCTGCGTAGCAGTTAATCCGTATAAACGTTTCCCAATTTACACTCAACAAGTTGCCTTGAAATATAAGGGAAAGCGAAGAGGTGAAATGCCACCGCATATCTTTTCAATTTCTGATAATGCCTATCACAATATGTTGCAAGGTAAGTTATTTCACGTGAACAAATTTGACTACTGAATTCATGTATAAGTAGTAAAACGTATATTTTCGAATTTTACAGCAGTGCATGATGAAAACAATGATGTCCTAACATAAATTATTGTGTGAAAATTCTTTTAAAAACAGTATCTTATCTTTTGATTATATTTAGATCGTGAAAATCAATCCATTTTAATTACGTAAGTTCTGTCAGTTGTTTCAATTTTTTGATTGGATAAATATGTTGATAATACTCTTATTACTCTGCGTTTTTATAAAATTTAAGGATGTACGAATTATTCCCACATCATTATGAATTAAAAGTAGTCAGTCTGAATGAAGAATATTCTTTTCAATGAATTTCCCACTTCAGGTTCTTACGATTTGTTATTATTACAATAATAGCCTGTTATGCGGTGGATACATTTGTATATATGATGACAAAATAAATAATATTTGTGCGAGGAACGTGTTCAGCTGGGCGCACGAGATGACGGAGATTAGTCGTAATGACGTCATACGCTGTTGGGAGATCGACTTTGCATTTATTCGACAATTAAATTAACTGTTACCAGATATAGCGAATCACATATATATTAGGTCTTTGTTAACTTCATCGGATTACTTCAGTAGATTGCTCATTGGGGATATAGATGTTACGTAAACTGGAAAGATCTTTTATATAAACTATTACACTGATGATGAAATAGTTCTCAAGGTGAATGAAATGTCTCATTTAAACAACGTAATTCTACTCTCTGCTTAATTTACAATTTCACTATTAAAATAACATTGTGAAACAGCGTTAGCTTACTTTGTTGACTATTTAAAATTTCACTCATTGAAATAGAATTATTTACTGGATGACTGCAGCCTATCAAACAAATATAGTCTACCTCATTCCAGTGTATTTTTGTTCTCTGAGCTGAATGGTTCAGTTGCGAAGCTTTCGTTTTCTTACATTAGACAACATCCTCAGTGCATAATTCAATAGGAAGTTAGGCTTTTAGAATTCTCCACAGATGATTATTGGTTTGTACCTGACACTAGTTGGTAGGATTTGATGATGGTAGCACTCGTAGAGAAGGAAAAAAAATTGTTCTCTGATGGTACCTTGTCTTTTTTGGAGAAGTCTCTCCCGTGTCCTCTAAACGGAAAGAAGAGTATTCCACGCATAAGATTTAGATATAATGGGAAAGATTTGTAGTTCAGGTGTTTTGGTTTTGGTGTAGTTGTCTTCTCTGAACTGGCTGGTTTAGCTGAGAAGAATTCTTAAAAAAAATTACTTCAAATTGAAGTATGCACTGATGATGCTGTCTAGTAGAATATTTAAGAAACTTCTCAACTAAACCAACCAGCTGAGAGAACACATAAATTACAAATCTTCTCCATTATATCTAAGTTTATCCAATGCCCCGTAGGACTGTGTGGTCAGATTTTTTTTTGATTTACAGCTTGATTCCACACTGTATTTTCGGTACAAGTATGGAATTTTCAGAGTGGATATCGGTAGCCCAAATTTTGCAGGCCAACCATAGATATCAGGTGTGCGTCGGTGCGGGCTCGAACACCGGACCATGTGCATGTTTGGCGAGAGTCCTAACCACTGTGCCACCGACGCACATATGCATAGGCATAAAGTGGAGAAAAGAGGTGGATTCAATTAGAGAAACACAAAAATCTACCTAAATAGGCATTATTTAACCTTAATAAGATAAGGAATGTAAAAACGGTAGCTTAGCTTTAGCACCACATGCCATCACTCATAAGCACATAATAGATAATTGGATAAGATTACAGTTGTAAAATCTAATATAATAGAGTGGATGGAGAGATTGATGGCTTAAGCTTTATCGAATTAACTCTTTCCCCGGGAATCTGGAAAATTACCCTACCCCTTCCATAAATTGAAAGGAAGAAAGACAACTGCAAAGTATCGAGACTTGAAGTTCTCTAGTAGCAATTCATGATGTGATTATGAGCAATAAACAAGTGTGTTTGAAAATGTTTGTCCAGTCCTGTCTACTACCATGAGCTTAACCTTTTTTTTAACTTGTCCAGTAATTTGATACTCAATCCATTCATCTATAAAACACAAAATAATTGAGCAAAGAATATCCTTTTCGATAAATTCTTCTTCCCGCTATACAATTATATATATGTTTATGTACATAGAACATTCTAGATTAGTAGTTAATAACAATATTAGTGTTTTTTAAATAATATCGATTTGTAAAGTATGATCAGTGCAATTACAGTTCACTAAAGATGATTAAATTACAATAATAATAATAATAAAGATATAGTAACGAACAGAATATCAGCTAAAATTAGGAAACTTCCACAAACATTCATGCTCATTCAAACCTAGATGGCCAGGGTACTGATAATGTCTGAACTAACTTCTTTTAGATGCATAAATTAGGCTTGTTAATATGGATCCCTATAGCCTCAGCAATATTTAGTACTCAAACTATAAAGGCGAAATTGAGATTCGTTGGTTGGTATTTGGTAAATGACACTGAAAGCATGGTTAACGTCAATCTTGTGTTCTGTATCCACAAGATGAGATAGAATGGCGCTTCGAATAGATTTTGTTTGTCCTTTACTTAAACACACACGGTGATGTTCGAAAATTCGACGAGAAACACGCCTAACTGTAAGGCCTATGTAACTGGCTCCATAGGAGCAGTTAAATTGGTAGATACACATGGAAGAGGCGGAATCAGGAAGTTTGTCTTTTACTTCCGAACACAAAAGAGGAGTGGTTTTGAAGACACGGCGTAATTCAGCAGCAGGGAATACTGTTTTTACCGCATTTCTAAGGCTCTATGTTAGTATCTCGCTGGTGTTGTCCCCAAGGAACTGCATCTGTAAGAATAAGGCCGCTTTTGGAACTGTTGGTAGCTTGGGCTGCTTTGATTTTAGATTCATATTCTTATCAATAAACTTTCCAGGATAACCATTCAATCTAAACCGAAGTATAGAGAAAAAAATATTTAAAATGAGGACTTATTACTAGTCGAAAGTTACTTGCTTAATGGCTAGTGAATAGTATCAGTAGCGGAAATGTCACTTATCACTTTATGTACTGAATTTTCAACCGGTTCGCCTTGGTTCCAAATGTCGACTGCACCAAGCTCAGCCTGAACAAGTGAGTACACTATCATTAAACCTTAAACAGTAAGTGTGGTTCATAGCCTGACATAACATATCACAGATGTTTAGGCAAACTGTATGAAAATTGAGTGTAGAGTAACTTATTTTATTCACCAAAGGAAGTAATAGTATTTAATTCACAAACCGATTGAAATTGTATTTCCTTATTAATAAAATTTAATCTATTTGTTACCATTATTACTAATATTATTATTATTATCTTTACTCCAAATAATCAACTAGTGGAGAAAGTGGTGCCGGGAAGACAGAGAACACGAAAAAAGTCATTTCTTACTTTGCTGTTGTTGCAGCTACTTCAAAGAAAGAAGACGACGAGAGTAGTAAAAAGGTTTGTTTGCAAATATTTAGACAAAGTTATACTTCACACCTCATGAGAAAATTTAAATATATATGTATCATGCCTTTAGGTTCCTAGTGCTTCATAGAGCTTCGGCTACATATCTTCTTTCTACTCTGCTTCCTGAAGTCTTTTTTAGTCGGCTTCTCGACTGTCCATGATCTTTCACATCCTTCTCATACTATCGTAATTTGTCATTACCCGATATCTTTTCTACCGTGAAGGCATGTATGGTGTTACTTAACAATAGTCTTTTCAGTATATATCTAATCCTTGCTCCATTTCTAAATAGATATTTATAGGGAAATAGCTTCTTAGTTGGTTTGACTTCAACCAGAGTTCGTTGTTGCTTATTGTTTCCAGCCGGTTCCATAATCTTCAATATCGAGTATAGACAATTGTTGGAAATGACGACTGTTGTTTATTTTTCCAGTAGATTAACATAAACAAAAGAATCACTTAAAAGAAATACTGAATAGATATTTCGTCATTGTTTAGTAAACTTCAAGTTCATAAAATTATCAGATAATCAGTGTAAGCATTCAGTAGTTAGTTAGTTAGTTAAGTCGAGGTTGGTTAGTTAGTTCAAGGTTAGCTAGTTAGTTCAAGGTGAGTTGGCAAGTAAGTTCAAGGTGAGTTAGTTAGTTAGTTAGTTAGTTAGTTAGTTAGTTAGTTAGTTAGTTAGTTAGTTAGTTAGTTAGTTAGTTAGTTAGTTAGTTAGTTAGTTAGTTAGTTAGTTAGTTAGTTAGTTAGTTAGTTAGTTAGTTAGTTAGTTAGTTAGTTAGTTAGTTAGTTAGTTAGTTAGTTAGTTAGTTAGTTAGTTAGTTAGTTAGTTAGTTAGTTAGTTAGTTAGTTAGTTAGTTAGTTAGTTAGTTAGTTAGTTAGTTAGTTAGTTAGTTAGTTAGTTAGTTAGTTAGTTAGTTAGTTAGTTAGTTAGTTAGTTAGTTAGTTAGTTAGTTAGTTAGTTAGTTAGTTAGTTAGTTAGTTAGTTAGTTAGTTAGTTAGTTAGTTAGTTAGTTAGTTAGTTAGTTAGTTAGTTAGTTAGTTAGTTAGTTAGTTAGTTAGTTAGTTAGTTAGTTAGTTAGTTAGTTAGTTAGTTAGTTAGTTAGTTAGTTAGTTAGTTAGTTAGTTAGTTAGTTAGTTAGTTAGTTAGTTAGTTAGTTAGTTAGTTAGTTAGTTAGTTAGTTAGTTAGTTAGTTAGTTAGGTAGGTAGGTAGGTAGATAGACATGCGTTGCGTCTGAATCGATTTACTTTTAGAGGATATCTCTCTCGACCAATTCATGAGTCAGGTGTTGGTGCTAGATTCAACTCTCAGTGAGAAGCTTATCATTTATTGAAGTAAAGGTACATTACGCTGATATCTCTTGATTAAGTGAAACACCCAATCCAGAACAAAACAGGTAATAAGAGTAGTGCAAATTTCTGTTGAGATAATAAATACTGATGAAGCTATAGAGACTAATGTGCACAACTTCTTTATTTAATAATTTTATATTCTCCAATAATAAAAAGTCAACAAAAAATGTCTAGATAAAATTCACTTGATTCACTTTTGTTTCACTTTCTGTTTCTATTTTTAATTTTTATAGGGAACACTCGAAGATCAAATTGTACAAGCTAATCCAGTTCTAGAAGCCTATGGTAATGCTAAGACAACAAGAAATAATAATTCATCACGATTCGTAAGTTTTTATTGTAAATTTAGAAAAATTTGCACACATACACACAATAATTTTTCACTGGGTAGATTTCGTTGCCAACTGGAGTCACTTAGATAATCTTGATTTGGTTGAGTTCTCTTAGCTGTGTGATTTGATTGAAAGTCTTTTACTGTATCCTTCGAGCTTAGAGAAAGCAACCACATCAAAATCACTCATTTAAGCTGGAAATTTTGTCTATTATTTCAGTTAGAGAATCATTGAAAGCCACCAGGATGCACTGGATGGCTGTTGTATCCTAGTGTGAGATCATTGTCCAGTGGCATAATCCCACAGTCATACGGCTATAGACCGAACTCGTGACCTTCATGGCACAAGGTTAGCTCCTTAACCATTCTGTCACTTGGTTTATGACGAAATCTACAATAAAATTAATCCAAAATCCCTATGAAACTCATAATTTAATCATTTCTCCTTTCTTTTTCGAAAAACAATTCAGGGAAAATTCATTCGTATTCACTTCGGTACAACGGGTAAAATTGCTGGTGCTGATATTGAACATTGTAAGTAACGTATTGTTTTTTTTTCCTGTTGTTACTGAAAAACGCGCTTTTTTAAATCGTTACTTTAACTAACTTTGTCTTCTTTCCTGCCACCTCCCTTTTCTCTCTTTTGCTTTCTGAAGATCTACTTGAAAAATCACGTGTTGTATCTCAAATGAAAGGAGAACGTAATTATCATATTTTCTATCAATTATTATCAAGTTATGGTGCAAAATATCATGGTATGTTATACAATTTTTATTTGTTTATTATTTTCAGTTATGAATGTAAAATATTTCATTTCATTTTTTTCAATGACTTTAAAGGCTTTAGTGTGTGTGTGTATTGGCTTGTGGCTGTGTGCTTCTTAATTTCCTCATATGAACCTGTTGTAATGTATTCAGTGAATTTCTTGACATGTTATTATTATTTCCTTTAATTCCTAGAGGAACATAGGGCTTCAGCCGCGCATCTCCATTGCGTTCGGTTCTCTGCCAACGTTTTCACCCCTCTCCAAGCCTGCGAACACGCTTTCATCTCCTCTTCACACGACCTCGTCCATGTCACCCTCGAACTGACGACCAACTCGCCGCTTCCCTTTCGGGTTCCACTCGAGCGATGGCTTGTCTAGTGATGTCACTTGATAGTTTCCTCGGAGTATTGCCAATCCATCTCCATTTCTTCCTGCCTATTTGTTTCACAATCGGTTCCTACTATGTTGGTTCTCTCATTGCCATTGGTTCTCTCTCTCTGTTGCTAATCTTTTCTGGTCAGCCATCTGATCTTGATTATTGAGGGAAGACAACTGTTAATGAAGGTCTGTAGTTTGTTTGAGGTGCTCTTTATGACACGCCAAGTCTCTGATCCATATAGTAGCACTGGCTGACTTCACATTGGAGTTGAAAATCCGGATCTTGTTTTTCATGCTGAGTGCTGTTGACCTCTACACAGACTTGAGAGTAATGAAAGTTTGTCTTGATATGTAGTTGGTTTCATCCATAACTTCGATTGAGTTGCCGTTATCACCCTTTTCAATGGCTACATTTTTTATCACGTCTGAGATTCATTAGATCTGGTCTTTCCGATTTTCATAAGTTCAACTGGGTCTCTTTTAGTTGTTTTAGTCCTAACAGACACCGTGCTCGGAACTTGGACGTTGAAGTTTACAATCTTTTCTCAAGTACTTTTAACTCACTTAGACCTCACTTCTTTTGATGAGATATTCATCACACTTTCACATACGCTCAACTTTCAGCTAATGGGTCTCTAATTTTTAATCTTATTCTACTGACTTCAGCTTAGACAGCTGGTTAGTATCATCGAACTGCGCATGCACAATAAGTGCGACACATATACACACACAATTATTCGCTTAAAAAAGCGATTTCTGATCATGGAAGTCATACAGGTGGTTAGTTATTACTGTTGAGGCCAATTCAGATAATGATTCTAAAAACAGGAATATCAGTGAAGTTGATCTTTCAAATTTTCCAATTCCTCATAATTTGAGGTGTCTGAAAATCTCAAATGTCCAAAATAATGCTGAGATCAGAATAATGACAATCAAGAAAACAAGCATAAATGCATTACGCTGTGTATATACTACTCGACTGATATTAGTAGTTCAGAATCAATATTCACTGTAAAATTATTCTTATTTCTTATCTTTTCTTAACTGATAAAACTCATGGAATAATTATTATTAACTATTTTCTGTTATTCAGACAAACTGTTGGTTCAAGCTGATCCAGCTTTATACAGTTTCATTAATCAAGGTGAATTGACTATTGACGGAGTAGATGACAGCGAAGAAATGAAATTGTGCGATGTAAGTTCAATATGTATTCTGTCCTTACTACATTCATTAATTGGAAATAGTAATTAGTTGAAGGATTTCATCGTAGGCTGGTATCAGTTCGAGAGAACCATTGAAAAATCTGGGAGTAATGGATATCTGTTTCGTCCTAGTTTTGGGCTCTTCACCAGTGCGCACCCACCACTGGGGTTCGAACCCAGGACCTCCTGATATCAGCTCATGATGAAATCTTCTAACCAATCAAACCAAATCCCTACAAAAACTAATACTTGAAAATAATAATTAACTTGTAAATGAGTGTTAATCATCTTCTGTAAAGCAACTAAGTTGTTTGATGTTATTGACAGGAAATTTTATATCCAAGTATGATTATCTTCTTGATTAATGTCACCAACAAGATACATGAGCCCTCTTAAACACATCGATATTTCCCCAAAGATTCAGCTTTAAATGATCATTTGGTACAATTAGAACCTCTATCATCAAGCCAACACTAACCACTCAAAGTCAATCAAACAAAGTGTCTCATATTTCATAATGAACCTAAATTTGTAAAGAGACCATTAAATACCAGATAGTGTTGGATAAAAGTTTTGTCACGGTTTAGAACTCTTTAGTAGTGGTGTGTATACACATGAAATCAAAAGATATCACACCTAGGATGTTCAGGTTATAAGGTGAACAAATTACAATTCAGTCATTTAGAAAAAATCCAGTGGATCATCAATCGTACTGTTTGCTATCCAATGTCAGTCAGCGAGTATCTATCCTTACACCTGAATTGATGAACTTCACCGGTCACAATTTTATATTAGAACCTGAGGAATTCACCTACCTCCACCCCGTGCCAACTCCGCGGTCAGTCTTTATTGATTACTTTGTAGAAGTAGGCTTTGTGGAAGGATAATTAATAGCAGTCATGTATTCCTGAAATTTATATTACTTATATTATAATAATAATTTACTTTATTCCAAAAACAGTACTTATAATACAGGATGGAATTCTCAGCATTTGTCATAATATTGCATCTGATTTACTTAAAATATAAATAAAATTAAAAATTAAAACAAAAGTAACCAGGGGAATTTGTCTACGTTTACGATATAAAGTCAAAAATATTCGATTATTAAATATGATGATAATAATAACAATAACAATAACAGTGAGTATGTTTCAAACAGTATGGGAAACTTTAGCATATTATAGATTATTGGATCTAATGTTCTGCTGATCTAGTATAGTGAGGGGAAATACAAAATTGTCAGTTATAACACAGCTTAGATGATGTTCACACTTATGAAAATAAAATAAACTTAAACAAAAAATTGAGAGGATTATAAATATAAGAAATACAATAACAATAAAGTATGATGTTGTAAGGATGGAGGAAATGGTTTATTTAGTAGTGCAAAGAAGGTTAGTTAGTTGGTTCATGCCTGACACTGTTTTCATCATATAAAGTACGTGAGAAATATGGTATAGTGGAATTTTTATACCTGGACGTACGTGCATAAAGTCTTCTGAAAAGACTTCTTGTTTTACCTGAGGAGACACAAGGTTGGAGCTGCGGGTAGATTAGGTGCTCAGAGTCTGACAAAATTCCTTTAGCAAATTTGTTGCATGAAATCAAGTGCCTATCAGTGACAATGTCAACGATATGGCCCAATGGGATGCCACTTGTCCCACTGGCTGACAGTCTTCAGAGTTCTACGAAGTATGACATTCTTTTTTAAGCAATCCAGGAAAGAATAAAGGTGAAGAGTAAAGAAGAATAGGTAGGATGCACGATTTGACAAACTGTAAGATGAGGGGTTGGTTGAGTTATGCCCGAGTCCCTCAACTTCATCATGTAAAATGTCAGACGAAATATTCTTTTAGAAATCGCTTAGACATAAATATAAATAATATATACATATTTTCTTCTTTTTTGTTCTTGTCTATTTTAGGAAGCTTTTGAAGTTTTAGGCTTTGCTGATGATGAAAAATTATCATTATTCAAATGTACAACATCAATTTGTAATATGGGTGAAATGAAATTTAAACAACGTCCAAGAGAAGAACAAGCTGAAGCAGATGGAACTGCTGAAGCGGAAAAAGTTGCTTTTCTCTTAGGTGTTAATGCTAAAGACTTGATGACATCATTTTTAAAACCAAAAGTTAAAGTTGGTACAGAATTTGTAACTAAAGGACAAAATTTAAATCAAGTTAGTTTTGTTTTTCTATTTTATTTTGTTCACGCTTAAAAATGCAATTCAGCTATTTGCAAATTAATGCTATTTACCATAGAGAAAATCCTCAATTTAGACATTTAGAAAACAGAAAGATTGAGCTTAGAAATATTTACTTTTCAATTAGATCCTCAACTCTCTCCGGCTCTATTCTAATACATATATATCATTTTTATTACAGTACACAAGAGTTTACCAATCAAGTGGCGATATGTTTGTTAACAATAATTAGTCAGTGTCAAAGTGTCAATGGGTTGATAATTAACGAAGAAAATCAATACACATTTAAAGGGTAGAAGTGGTTAGAATAAATTACTTTTACAAGGATAACACGCAATTAAAGATGAAGTGGTCAAAATGAATAAAAAATAAAATAATTTGGACAATTATAATTTTTATAATTTTAAAGGTTTAGGGGGAGGGGGGCAAAGTAGTCCGTTTTATACATTCATGTAACGATGACCGAGGTAAGGCGGATGGCTGTACAGATTTCTTCGGAACACACAAGTTTGGATTCTTCAGGTGAATTCCTATTGCTTCAGCTGTCTGTAGAAGACGAACTTGTATAGCAAAATTAAGATTAGTAGGAATGCGATAAATAACTTTAAATGTTGTATTAACTGACATCAACTTTATTCTCACAATCTACAAGGTGTGGTAAAATAGAGCTACGAATAGATCTTGTTTCTCCCTTGCTTAACCATACTGGATGATGTTCGGAAATACGATGATGAAGCTGCCTAGTTGTACGTCCAAAGTGGATGGATCCGCAGCTGCAGTCAAACTGGTAGATACACACAGAGGAGGCAAAATTACGTAGTTTTTCCTTATTTCTCGAACGTAGAATAGGGGTGGTTGTGAAGAGACAACGTACCTCTACTGCATCGAAAGCTGCTTTTTAACTGAGTTCTTCAGGAGGAGTATTATTATTTTGCCGATGTTATCACCGATGAATCGCAGTTTCATGAACAGTGGTTTTCTTGGAATTGTTGCCATGCTGACTCTCCTAGGTGCTGAATTCATATTCTTCTCAATGAATTTATCTGAATAACCATTTTTTCTAAGCAATTCTCTGATAACCTTAAGCTCCTCATTGACGCAGTCGTCTGAACAGACTAAACTAGCTCTATGAACCAGACACCTTACCAGGTTACGTTTATGTTTCGAAGGTACAACACTCAAAAAAATGAGTGTACTGACCAGTTGTTGTAGGTTTCCTATACACACTCCTTCTTAGTGTGCCATCTTCTTTCCTTGCCATGAAGACGTCTAGAAATGAGATACTGTCATTACTTTCTTTCTCTATGGTAAAGTTTATTGGTCAGTGTGCTTCATTAAACTTGTCAGGGATGTTCATTGCATCATTCTCATCTTTGATAACCAGAAATGTATCACCCATATATATATATATAAAATATATCGATAGTAGAAATCCAATCCTTTCAGTGGTCCATTCTCTGACTTAGCGAGGAAAAAGTCAGCTAGGATTGGACCTAATGGGGAATCCATAACTACACCATCAATCTGTCTGTAATATTCTTTATTGAACAAGAAGTGAACATTCATTGTACATCTTAAAATAAGTTCCTTTAAGGTGGATACAGAAATGCCGATGTCTATGTTTCGTGTAGTAATCTCCTCACATATTTAAACGATCCATTTTCTACTTTAATTTAAAACATGTTCAATTACATAATAACACCGTTTCTCTACGAGAAATCAATAAAACAGATGAAACACTTTATATGAAAAATAGTTGCTTTTTTTAATATTTAGATTCAGATGGAATGAAAACACATACTGCATTGAGAAATAAACCATATCTGTTGTATGATATTGTTCAGACTATAATGGGTAAAGTAGGGTCCACCTTTGACCCAGTAATTGGTAATTTAGATACCTTATTGGTGCTTTAAGATGGTATTCTACCCAACGTGTCTTCGATCATAAGAATACCGTAGTAGTAATAAGATTTTTAGCTGATATAAAGTATGGAGCATAAACAGGCATTGAGACATCTATCACTTCTCAGGTTGACATGTCGGTGTCTTGTGCACTTCAGTCCAATCATTCAGGGGGGGGAATCTAGAATTGAATTAAATAATTAATATGACCCCCTGCACAAGAGATGACTTTCGTAGCCCGAGTGGTCTAGTGGGTAACGCTTAGGCTGGCATTTGAAACTATGGGCACTGGTTTTGAGCCTCGGTGGGGACATCATCACTCACTGGGAAATGTAAGCACATCCAGTTGACAAGTCCAAAATAGGACGAAATGAGAATTGTGGATCCCACTGCTAGTCACCATCCACCAGTTAAATTCCTACTAATATTGTTGTTATGTCGAAATTTTAAAAATGCTTAATTTATTTGTAACGCTAAAACTGAATGAAGACATGGATCGATGGAAGCAACTGCCATCTCATTCACATAAAATTAGGAACCTAGTTATAATTCTTCTATCCTAGGTGCCTGACGTTGTTTATATAACGGGTTATATATATATTCGATCAAGTTCATCCACTGAAGTTGGATTATGACAGGTATTTTCAATACTGGTTGGTAACTGTCAAACAACAGTCGAGAATGACTTCCAAATTCAGTAATAATCACAGTGTTGTTGAATTATATTTTATTTGTACCTTTTGTTATTACCTCCATTGTGACCGGCTTAAACAAATTTTCAAAGACTTTGTGGAATGATGTCAGGTTTTGAATTGATCATTTATAAACATCATTTCCAATTTAACTCTATATATCAGCTGGTATTGTTCATCGGAGAAGGCGATGGTGTGGCATGTACAGCAGGTGTCTTAGCAAAGTCAATCGATTTGGCTTCCCAACCTCATTAGTTTGCTAAAAAGTTGTCTGTTTTATTGAATTATGCAGTTCTTAGTCACAAATATAGATGAATACAGGGATAAGAGTTCAGTGTAATTTCGTGAAAAGTCGTGAACAGATATATATATATATACTCCAAATTAGAGCTAATCGATAGTTGTCGTTATTACAGTGGTGTATTTAAAATATCTAGAATCTACATTCTTACGACATTATTGTTACCAATCATAATTAGAATTACAATAATTTGCCTTATAAATTATTTCTGTTTCATTTCACTTAATAAATAACAGGTCACATATGCAGTTAGCGCTTTAGCTAAATCACTCTACAATCGTATGTTCGGTTGGTTAGTTGCTCGTGTCAACAAAACTTTGGATACAAAAGTTAAACGTCAATTTTTCATTGGTGTACTGGATATTGCAGGTTTCGAAATTTTCACTGTAAGTTACAACTTTTCGCCTATTTTATAGCAGATATTTTTTCTTTCGAATGAAATTAAAATTTTTAAAAATAAGTTAGGTTATAAATTTGTATATTTGGAGAATGAAAATTATACTTTATGGGAACTTATGAAATACTACTTGTGAAAACATTCATCACGATAAATGCATGCTACTTAATTAATTTGTGAGTAGTAAAATTATTAAACAGAAATCTTTAGGAACTTCACGGAATTTCTCCATTATGAAGTTTGAACGAATTTATCAGGAAAAAATATATGAAATCATTTCTATTATCTCGAAAACTCTCTCAGATGCTCACAAATTATTACCAAGTAAAAAGATTTACGATTTCATCTAGAGGATAATTAAACGAATGTCCTTTTGAAGAAAAAACAGAGTTCAAAAATGTTTTGGATAGAAATAAAGTTTAACTATAATGACTTTATCTATGAAATAAATTGCATAACTATAGAAAATAGAAAAAAGAGCAGAATTTTGAGTAATGCTCTGAAATGATAATAAAACTATCTAAACAGCATAAGTGATAGAAGAGAATATTAGACATGATCGAATTTTATCCTTACAAGTGATCTCATATTCATTACCTATATTGTTATTCCCTTGGGTTCCATGTGGAACATAGGGCTTCAGGAGCACATCTGCATTTCATCCGGTTCTCTGTAGTCTATTTCAGCTGGCTGAACTTTCTCCCATAAGGTTTTGTCTCCTCCTCCTCAGAGGATTTCCTCCATGATATTCTTGGACGTCCAGCTGGTTGTTTCTCATTCGTGTTCCACTCTAGGGCCTGGTACATGATGTGAATCGATGGTCTCTACAAAGTATACCTAGTCCATCTCGATTTCTCTAGGCATATTTGTTAGCAGGTTGAGATTACCAAAGTTCCTAGTTGCTAGTCCTTCTGGCTGATTATCTGAGCTTCAGCAAAGAGTGAAGGCAGTTGTTGATCTAAGTCTGCAGTAGCCTGTTGGAAATGGTTTTGGCGACGCTTACCAAGTCTTTGACCCATATAGAATCACTGACTGATGTGATATTAATATTGAAAATCTGAATATTGTTTGCCATTGTGCTTTTAAATCTCTTACTTGTTTATACTATATGTTTATTCATTCATTCGTTCATTCCAGAGTTAGAATAACTAAAAGTTTAATCTTTTCTATATTTTATTTTAAAAGGAAAATGGTTTTGAACAAATCTGTATCAATTATACTAATGAACGCTTACAACAATTCTTTAATCATCACATGTTTGTATTGGAACAAGAAGAATATAAACGTGAAAAGATTCAATGGACATTTATTGATTTCGGTATGGATTTACAAGCTTGTATCGATTTAATTGAAAAGGTAAATTACTCAGCTTACATGTATATCACATATACACATAATCCTCTTCTGGGTATTCATGAAAACAGTAAATGAAGTAGTGTTCAGTGAAAAAGGTTCTTTTCGAAAGATTAATTTTCTTTTTTCAAGTATTGGTTTTGTAGGGATTTTGTGTTTGATTGCATGGAAGACTTCATCATGAGCTGACATCTGTTAGAGAACCATTGGAAAACCTGGGAGTACTGGACGACTGTTTCTTCAGCTTAGTTTGGGACTCTTCATCAGTACGCACCCACCGGGGTTCGAACCCTGGACCTCTTGGTTACAAGGTGAGCTCGTAGACCATTAGGCCACTGGGAGCCCGATCCAACGACCAGCCCATGTATTCTACCTTCTGCTAGTTCACGACGTAGCGCGTTTATAAAATAGTGGAGAAGATTTTCAGCTTCAGTTGGATGTTTTCTGGGGGGGGGTATTGTTGGAGTGTTGACGTTAAAGCTTAGCTCTTAAATCCTCTAGTTCAGGCACGACAACACGACAACAATAAATCTTCTGTTTATATGATATAACTTCAAACAACATTTTATATAACTTTAGAAATACACAAAGAAGTTTTTATTGAATCCCTGACATTACTCTTCATTATATCCTGTAAATTTCACGTCTTGATTAACATATCTATGAGTAAATTATCAAGATAACATCTACTTAATACTATTTTGAAAATATTGACTTCACTTCCTCTTTCCTTAAGCGACTGTGCGTAGGTATATTGTTTGGAATAGACAGTAGTCATATAGGCAAACAAATTTGTTCAACTGTATTGGATTATACTGCTCATATATATTACTTATTTATATATAAGTAGTTGGTACTGTTCAACGGTTACATTTTCTTAAAAGAGACTGACTCAATATTGACTTCAATTGATAGATTACACATTTACATCTCGAAGAAAAAAAACTATTTTTTCTTTGGCTGGAAGATTTCAGCATGAACTGATGTCGGTTAGAGAATCATTGGAAAACCAACACTGGATGACTGAACAGCTGTTTCAGCCTAGCTTGCGAATCTTCAGCAGTACGCACCCACCACACGGGTTAGAAGCCAAGACCATTAGGTTAGAAGACTAGCGACCTTGTAGACCATTAGGCCACTAGGAGCCGACTCGATCCAATAGCCAGCCAGGGAAGTCTTACTTCTGCCAATTCATGACATAACGCGACCACTTCACAATGTCTTCTCTGATGAGTTACTGCCTCACCTTCATTCAGCCTGGTGTATCCCAGGTTAACTGCCTACCTGAATAGGGCTAGTTGCTAGTGAGCATGCAATCAATTTTCAAGCATTGGTTTTTGGAGGGATTTTGTTTGTTTGATTAGTTGGAGGATTTGTTTTTGTATTTCTTTTGCTTCTTTATCTTGTTTAATTCATTCGATATATGATGATAAATTTAACTTCTTCCTAATTTATTTCAATAATTAAAAAAAACTATTTAGCCTATGGGTATTTTATCAATTCTCGAAGAAGAGTGTATTGTACCAAAGGCTTCAGATCAAACCTTCTTGTCAAAATTATACGATAATCATTTAGGCAAAAGTCCAAATTTCACTAAACCAAAACCACCGAAACCTGGTCATACAGAAGCTCATTTTGAATTACATCATTATGCTGGATCTGTAAGTCTTAATATTACTATGTTACCATATTAACACATTTTCTCTCCCATCACTCTTTGTCATTCAACTATATAAATTTTAGAAATTCAATAATAATAATAATAATTTACTTTATTCCAAAGCAGTACTTGTGATACAGAATGGAATTTTCAGCATCAATCACAATATTGCATCTAATTTCCTCAAATTACAAATAAAACTAATCACACAGAAAAATTTTCCACATTTACAGTAGAGACAATGTCAAAAATATGCAGCATATAAAATGGAAATAGCAATAATAATGGTAACAGCTAAGGTAATAATAATAATAATACAAGTGGAAACTGCCGTGGGCTTGTGCCGCACAGTATTGTCGACTCCGTATCGAAATCTTAGCATGTTTAAAAATATTGAATATAACGTTCTCTTTACATGATATGGTGAGGGGAGAAACAAAGATTACAGCAGTCATAGAGATAAGTTGATGTTTGCAATTATGAGAGTAAAAAATCAAAGAAGCAACAGGACCATAAATATAATAGAAATAATAAAAGTAAAACTTGATGGTATATAAGGATGAATGGAGGGAATTGTTTATTTACAAGACGAGAAAAGGTTAGTCATCACATAAAATACGTGCCAAGTATGGTATCATAGAATTTTTATACTTAGACGTGAGAGCATACAGTTTTCTGAAGTTACTTCTGGTTCTACCTGAGGAGATGCAAGTTGAAAGCTGATGGTAAAGTGGATGTTCCAAGTCAGACGAAATCCCTCTAGCAAATTTATTGCACAAAGTCAAGTGCCTATCGACAACGACGTTAACTATGTGGTGGTCCACTGGGAAACCACTCACCCTACTGGTTAGCCGTATTCAGTATTCTACGAATTGTGACATAGTCTTTTCTAAGCAAACCAGGAAAGAATAAGGGTGAACAATAAAGAAGAATAGGTTGGATACAAGAGTTTGTGAACTGTAAGAGGAGGGGTTGAGTTATATATGCCCGAGTGCCTTAATTGTGTTATTTCTACTTTGAACGCATTTCTGATTGTTTGATTCAGATTAAATTTTGATTGATCACTGGGAAGTAAAAAAAAAAGGAAAATTAGCGTATGTTAAGACTTTAACGTGATCATTGTCTGAATTCCAATCGTGGTCGTGGTATTATCAATTCCTACAAGCAGTTAGGGCGAAGTTACAGTATCATTGCTAAAGTCAGAGTCTTTCAAAAGTTTACCTTCAAGAAACGATGAGATACAGGGAATGCTGTGAAATGTGATTCCACACCAAATAATACCTACCTTTTGGGACTTAGAGAGGACAGACACAGCATTCTAGTTATTTATTGGGTACTTTCTCTGCAAATCTGTACTGTTAGGTAGGACTACAGCATTCAAGACTAGGGTTCAGTGTCCAGGATTAAAGCTAGACTTAGGAGTTAGGATTATGGTTAGAGTTAGAAGTGTCGAAAATATCAATGGATCTCAACGTATCATGACACCTGCAGTCACCCGTATGAATAGGTAGATCGCGCATGGTACAAAATTCTAAATAGATCATCTGTGTAGTGACTCAGAGACATTCTTACAGCACATAAACTACAACTATATAGTGTGATATCAAGTTTACAATATTTTCTTTCGTGTATTTTTCAACGATTATGCGACTTTTTCACATCTGAATTCTGATTGGTTGTTCATAGTCACTATGGTTTTGGCTGTGATAGCTTAACTTTGCCGCAGCTAGTCAAGAATCGGGTGTTTCGAAACAATCTGGCTGTTTCATTGAAGTTAAACCGGATACACCGCTGATGAACTCGACTCCGAACGAGCGAAATACTCATTCGGTGTTAACACTACTTCGATCTGGTTAGCAAACAATATAATAATTAATGTGAGTGGGTATGCAACTACTCAACTCAGTACATCAATAGTATATAGTTTTATGCATTTATGCTTGCGTCCTCGATTGCCATTTATGATATTAGACGGAAGACACCCGTTATGATTTGAAACAATTTAGCTTTGTTGAGGATTTTCAACTCCATTGTGAAGTCAGTGCTAATTATACGGATCAGACACTTGGCACAGCGTCACGAAGAGCACTTCGAACAGACTACAGACCTTCATCAACAGTTGTTTTCGCTCAATACTTCGCTCAAGATCAGATGGCTGGCCAGAAAAGATCAACAGTAGGGATCTCTGGCAATGAACGAACCAACCCAGAAGGAACCAGTTGTGCAACAAACATGTAGGAAGAAATGGAGGTGGATTTGCCATACTCTGAGTTAACAAACCATCAAGTGACATCACACACCAGGCGATTGCTTGAGTGGAACCCGAACGGGAAGCGACGAGTCGCTCATCCCTGCGAGGGTAATATGGAGGAGGTCATGAGAAGAGGAGATGAACTTATGTGGGCAGATGTGAACTCAGGTGAAAACGTTGGTGGAGAACCGAACGCAATGGAGACGTGCAGCTGAAGCCCTGTGTTCCTCTATGAACTAAAGAAAACAATAATAATACAATAATAATGAGGAAACTGTGGAGAAATTTCACCCCCTCGAATTATTTAATTTGCAAATTGCAGGTCCGATTAAAACTCATAGCTTTAAATTTTTCAATGAGTAAGAAATATTGAGAGTAGTGATCGATTTATCCTTTTTCTCATTTCTTCTTCTATCACTGTCATGTTTCATTTCTATTCTCTTGTTTATTTAGGTGCCATATACTATCACTGGTTGGCTTGAAAAGAATAAAGATCCACTTAATGACAGTGTAGTTGCACTATTAGGTGGCAGTAAAGATGCTGTTGTGTCGAATCTATTCACTCCTGTTGTCGGTGAGTGCTATTTTTTCACTGGATCTCTCTATCTTTATTTGTGTTTAACGAAACTTAATTCAGCCTTAAACAGTTACAGAAGGGGATAGTGATAAAAACTCTGAAATTATTTAATTCAAATAATCCACTTTCTTTTTTTGAAGGGGGGGGGGTGAATATTTCTTGCCCATTATGTATCAAGTGATACGAGTAGTGATGTGACTTGTGCTACTGAAAAGCGTTTTTGTAAATACTATACTGTGTGTGTGAAGTCTTTTTGCAAGAATATTGACTAACAGACATACAGATATTATGTGACAGGTCTTTACGAACGAAACAACATGAAAAGCACGAAAGGAAGATGAAAGACGCATTACACCATAACTTTACATGATTTCGCCAAATATGAACAATCTGTTATCAAAAACAACCATGTCCTCTCATGTTACATTCGATGTCACTCGCTACCCCCGACTTGATGAAGATCCCCGTGGCAAGCAAACTTGAAAGATGGAAATATCCTGGAAAAAGTCTGATGATTGCTGATTTTCATAATCGATACCAAAAAAAAGTAAAAACATGAGGATAAATTGAAAATAACTGGAAAAATTTAATCGTGTTAAAGATAATCAAGAGAGATGCTTGTTAAACTTTATACTGAACTTAAAGCTGAAAATGTTATCTAGTAGAATAGAAAGTGAAGACTGTGTCACATTTATACATTCATGTAACGATGACCAAGGTAACAAGGATGGTTGAACAAATTTCTTCTAAACACACGAGTCTGGCTTCATCAAGTGGATTCCTATGGCTTCAGCTGTATGTAGAAGACGAACTTGTAGAGCAAAATTAAGATTAGTAGGAATACGATAAATAACTTTAAATGTTGTATTAACTGACATCAACTTTATGCTCACAATCTACAAGGTGTGCTAAAATAGAGCTACGAATAGATCTTGTTTAGATCACTTGCTTGGAAATACGATGATGAGCCTGCGTAATTGTATGCCCAATGTAGCTGGCTCCGCAGCTGCAGTCAAACTGGTAGGTACACATAAAGGAGACAAATTTAGGTAGTTTATCCTTATTTCTCAAACGTAGAATAGGGGTGGTTGTGAAGAGACAAAGTATCTCTCCTTTAGATTAAGCTCTTTTAACTGAATTCTTCAGGAGTTGTATTACAACGCCGATGTTTCCTATGAATGAGAATCAGCTTAGATTGGGTAAATTGTCTTTGACTTTTTGGAATGAATATGTATATATTGGATGGCATTACTCAAGGATATGGCCACAAAGAGTCTACATGTTGAATATCCTCCAATATCGTTATCGTTAGATATTGACATAGAATTTCCTTAAGTACTCTTCCTTTAAATACTTACTGTCATTATTATTTAGGGCACAGTAATATTCCTTATTACAATAGTGACAGTCTTGTCTAAATAATACGAAGTCCTTTAGTGAGATAAGGTTGTCATCATACAGTTTATGAAACCATGTTTCTTGTAATTTGGTTATGGCAGTAATATGATAAGTGTCAGTGGACATCAGACATTGTAGGTACATTATCTTGTTAGGCAGAGAGCGGCAGTTTGTGTTCATTGCAACAGGGACCGTAGTTAAGTGTATTGGTATACGTTCAAGAGGTGTCTGCCAACCACTACAATGCTTCCTCCTTGATTTCTTGGGAATATGAAAGTCATTTGATCGTAAATGATTAATAAAGTTACGAGAGTAAATGATCCTGTTAGAATTCATATTTAGGTGATAAATAAATGTGAGTAAACGGTTGATTGGATGCAATATATAGATATTGTAATAGCTGGCGCGAAAATTCGAACAGGCCGCCAGGTCAAGGTCGTCTAATCCAAACTTTTACATTACTAAGCATTCTCATGAGACGAAAGTTATTAGATAATAATTACCAACAATCTGTTTTTATTTTATAACTTTTATTTCTACAAATGAATGTTTTATTTACATGTCATATAATTGTTAGATGAATACCTCACTAATGTTATTTATGATATTTGTATTTAAAATGCCTGTAAGTTTCTAAAAATACGCTTAATTCTCGATGTGATAAACATTTGATTATTGGTTATGTATGCTTAAACAGTGAGAAATTTCAATATATATGGTGGACTCAGTGTTATTGGTTAGTTAAACACTGAGTAAATCGGTTATGCATCAGCCGACCGAAATCAATAAGGACTGCTGTTACTATTCACTTATTATTATTTCCTTTAATTCCTTAAGGAACATAGGGCTTCAGCCGCGTGTCTCCATTGCGTTTGGTTCTCTGCTAGAGTTTTCACCTGGCTCCAAGTCTGCCCACATGCCTTCATCTCCTCTGCACATGACCTTCTCCAAGTCACCCTCACAATGACGACCAACTCGCCACTTCCCTTTCGAGTTCCACTCGAGGAATTTGGATTTGATATTATTATAATCATTGTTGTCCCCTTGGGTGCCGAGTAGAACATGGGGCATCAACAAAACATCTTCACTTTGTTCTATTATTCACTGTTCTCTTTAGCTGGGCCCACGATTTTCCATAGTCTGTCATCTCCTCATCTCATGATCTTCTCCATGTCACCCTCTCACCGATTACCCGCTCGTCGTTTCCAACTCAGATTCCACTCGAGGGCCTGAGACCTGGTTTCGCCTAGTTTACTAGCTCACTGGTTTTCTAGACCAGTCCCAAAACCGGAGAAAAAGAGAGTGTTGGGTGTGCAGCTAGCGACCCTACTTCGGTAAATCAAACCAACTGCTTCAGAAACGTCATCGCGTGATCTGGATTAGAAATGTACTTTTTTAAGTTTACAACTCAGAGGACGGGAAACACCATCATATCACTATGAGACATATTATGATCTTTCAGAGATTCAAACCATTTGGCTATTTATTTGATTGGATTAAAAGTGTCTCAAGGGTGTTTGCTTAACATTCAAAAGCATTAAAAAGTGTTGACGAATTAAGGGTATCAAGGTTGTATTAAGTAGACATTTATGAAATTCCAATTCCTCAAACAAAAAAATTACAGTAGTATGTAATTAGATAAGGATTACTTAGGTCCTGTAAAGTTTGTTAATAAATTGTTTCCACAGTCAAACACACAGAGATGATTTGATTTTATGAATGGTATATCGATAACCCCAGCATATTTCAATGTGTTCCTTTGATGACGGTTTTTTTTATAGATTTGACCCGTAGTATGAACGTCTTGACATTGTCTGAATATTCAGTTGTTAGTGAAGACCAGTGAAATCTAGGAAACGAATTCTGTCCTGTGTTTTGAACTCGTCATCTGGATGTACCTATATGCGTCAGTGAGTGATAATGTTCCCCTCCCCCCGCCCATTGAGACTCGAACGCAGTTCCTATTGTTTCAATCACCAAGAAGTTAACCCCTAGATCATTTAGGCCACAAGAGCCACCTCTTGTGCTTCTTTATAAGGCGATTTTGTACTTTCCCGTTGGATTGATTGAACCAAAATGTTTGGTTTCTGTTAACATGTCAGCTACTAGGACGTACGTACATCCAGTCGACGAGTTCCATCAGTAGGATGGAATGCTCATCGTGGATTTCACTGCTAGTCACCATTTTACCAGATCACTCAATGCTAGACATTGAGATGAAGACACTGATGATGAGAAACACTTAAAATTAAATGTCAAAGTTCAAAGAATACCTAACATAGTGTAATCAGAACAAGATGATGTTTAAGCGAACAATTATGGTTTCGATAAATTCTTCCTCAGGCTCTACAGTCATAAATCCATGAATATTATAATACAAATATTTTCAATAGTTGGTTTGTAAGGATTAGATTTGTTTTTTTACGAGTTGTTCATGGATTGTTATCAGTTACAAAACCATCGAAAACCAGCCACAGCGAGTACTGGACAGCTGTTTTATCACAGCTTGCTTTGTAATCAGAAGGCACTGGGTTCGAACCCCCAGGGGGTCCATACTGCCGATGATTACCAAACTAGAGTGAAAGAGCTGTCTTACAGTACTCTCTATTGGTTTTCAATTGTTTTCTAACCGATAACAATCCGTAATCAACTCGTATAATACAAGTGGCCATTAAAGGCATGCGAAAATTATATCTGAAACTGTATTGGGGTCCATGTACAATAAGGAGTAACAGTTCGTTAATTAATGTTTTCAAATCAAGGTATATGAAAAATGTGTAGTCATTCCAAACATAAGATATAGTGTGAATAGACCCAAAAGGTGACACACTAAGGTACTTATGGTCAACAGAATATAAGTTTCATTGTCGGGGGACGGGGAGTGAGTTATATTCCCTGATATGTGAGGAAAATGATTACCACAAAATGCAAACAAACAAATACCAAAGAAATGGGGAACTCTGAATATAATTTCAAGCAAGAGGTCATGGATATCAAATGTGGTGATAAAATAAAGAGGTCAGAATGTGAACTGTAATAAAATACTAGAGACATCATGAGCTTAGTGTAAATTACGAAAACAAAAATTCCTACAAAAACCAATACTTGAGAATTAATTTGATGCTCATTATCGACTGGCCTTATTCAGGTAGTTAACCTGGGGTTCTAGTGGGAAGCCGCGACCAGTAGGGTACAGCAGGTTGAAGATGAGGGAGTAACTCATCTAAGATGACATTGAGAAATGGTCGCGCTGTGTCGTGAATTGGCAGAAGTTAGAATTCAGGTCTGAGGTCGATTTGTATAACTAGCATAACCCCACATGATCAGTGGAATTTTTTTCCAATATACTTTTCACATTGCTTTTAATGGCTATTTGTAGTCAGGGGTTTATAAGTGTAGAACATGTGGAAGAATATATCGAAACCCTAATTGTTCGCTGAAACATCTTGTTCTAAATATCTAATAATTTCTCTATATACACAAATCTTCTTGATTCTACTGTATATCTATATATCTATGTATTTGTGTGTGTGTGTTTGTCTGTATGTGTATGTGTGTATGTATACAGGTGAACCGGGTAAAAAGACAAAGGGTGGATCCTTCTTAACAGTGACCTATATGCACAGGGTAATTCTTACAACCAGCCAATGAAAATAATAATTTTAAAAAAACGCCTGTTATGTATTCTCGTGTTATGAGTTGTTTATTTATTTATTTGTTGCTTGACAACGCTGTCTGCTTGCTGAACATTAACTTATATAAACATATATCTATACATATATGCGCTCAAACAGAAATACAACATGCTTATTTGAAACACAGTAAGAATACATCTCTCTGTCTGTATACATTATCATTGGAGAGGTATTCATCAGTGCATTTATTGCATAATGGCTTAATGCTTTTTGATTTTATTCCTCTTTGTGGTTCGCCTTTCTCTCAGTTCTTTCTTCCGTTGAAAGTTCCTATGTTTTCTCTTTATTTATCTCCGTGGTGGAAAGTCTGTTCATCATCGCAAATCAACGCATACACGCACATGTGTTGCCCGCGTATGTGTATGTGTGATTGTGTGTGTGTGTGTGTGTGTGTGGAGAGAGGGGCGGTGTATTGTATATATTTCTTAACAGCGAGGGAAAATTACATTTCAGCACTCTCTACCGTTGTGAAACACTACAATATGCTTATATTACCTATTTGATTCAATCATTTAGTTCAAATGCCTAAGCATGTTTAACAAGGATTGTATGATGACAGTTAAGTGTGTGTGTGTGTGTGTGTGTCGGTGAGTGAGGAGTATGCAAAGGCCTATACGCTGTCTATTTTGTGAACAAATCTCTTTTTGGTTTACGTAATATATATCTACATATATTTTCTCCCGGTCATCATGTCATTATTACCCTGGACATTTCAGTTTATCTAATACTTAAATAACAAGTAATTATTTCGTCCTAATCATGGGGCTCCTCAGCAGTGACGCTTATATGCATATATGTATTTAAGAGCTCATAGAAGTTAGAATTCATGAGTGATGATTAGACTGAGAACTAATTTGACGCTGAATTGTCATCAGGCTTATCTTGTTGTAAGTCTTGCTTACTTTGAGGTTGCTCATTGTGCAGAAGACTCTCAGACTAGGTCGAAACAGCTAACACTGACTTGTAAACGTCGAATCCAATTTTTTTCTTTTGTAGCCTATTTTATGATTAACAAATTTTTAATATTTAAAAAAAAATTATTATTTTTAAAAATAATAATCTACTTAATTTATTATTCTACTCATGTATACATCTAATAGACGAAGGTGGAAAACGTAAAAAAGGCGGTGCTATGCAGACAATATCTGCTCTACACAGAGTACATCTTCTTTTCCCCTATTCTCTGTCTCTCTGTCTACTTACTCCAAGATGTTACATTTTTGTAGTCGTAGTTGTAGTAGTAGTAGTAGTAGTAGTTTTAGTAGTAGTAATCATATAATTTGTAGTGTAATACCTTTTAGATTGTTTTATGTCTTTTGCGTGTATGTGTGTCGTGAATTGGCAACTAGTGTCATACTTGTACGCATACGTGTTTATTAACCCGCACGTCACACAGAATACTGAAAAAAATTCCAATGATTGCAATACAATAAACATTCGAAACACAACAAATACAATTTTTACAAAAATAAACTACTCACTACCCGTAGTGCATCCGCGTGTGTATGTCAGTGTAGCGTTTAGTGTAGTCTATATATGTACGTGTGTGTGTGTGTATGTTTGCCCTTTGAGTATGTGTCACGTATATTTGTCATCCTTTTGTAGATGAACATAAGAGAATGAATGAATAAGCAAACTATTGTGTGTATATATATGTGTGTGAGTAGATGTCTGTTACTTAGTTATTTACCTTAGTAGTGCCTTTATTTTTTGGATAAGCATATTATTGTGTGAGTAGTGGCAATAAAAATATGACTACCGTAAAATCTGCACCTTTCTTTTTTTTTTACCTCATTTAAGTCATTCATGGTTTCAAATAATGGCGTTTATTTCATAATTTAAAACTATTTGAATAACTTTGATAGTGTGTGATGTATCTCCTGAAATGAATCAGTGGTTCAGAGGTGTAGGAAGCTCACCAACCACATCACACACACATAAGCACGTGGTTTGGTGTTCCAAACCCACACCGAATTACTCCTAAATCATCTCATAGCCAGTGTTTGTAAGCCCAGTAAAGGCAGGGGTGGTTGGGTTAGCATCAGGCTAGAAACCCTACCCCGTAAAAACTTCAAAAGTCAAATTTTGAACTTGGAATTCATGGATTGGCCGTTGAATCGAGCCCCAATGACTTAATGGTCAACGAGCTCACCTGCCTTGTAATCATAAGGTCCTGGGTTCGAACCCCGTGGTTTGGGTGTGTACTGATGAGGAGTCCCAAACTGGGAGGAAACAGTTGTCCAACCGACGTCAGCACATGAGGTTAAAAGTAATATCAAATCACTTTTGTACACATAGAAGGGGGGGGCGGACTTAATCTTTCAGATAGCTATCACCTCAGTGTATTTCAGTAATGAATGCCCCCTGATTCCTCGCAAAGATCATCTTGACAACGATTCTTTTGATGTCAGCCTTATGATTCCTATCATCAATTAAGTATTTTGCTGCACCTGAGGTAATTAGTCTGCTATCTATGCTTGATTAATTAATAATTCAAGACTATATTATCAATGGAATAATACACATTCAAGTGAAAATAGACCTCACAAACGGTCGCATACATTGAAGAAGTACTACTGATATGAATAACAAGTAGAATTGGATGACTATACGTTAAAGCCAGCTGGCGTCTCAACATCATATCCTTTTTGATGAAATGTGTTAGCTAAGACCTCTCCTTCCCTCTACTTCTCTGTCTTTCTCTCTGCATTTGTGTTTGTGTGTGAGAACTACGCAAAATATGGTAGATGAAGTGGGTTTCCAATTCGTAACTGACTGTTTTGGGTAGTTTATAAAGCAAACCAGTAGGGGATCTACAGGCTTGTCTAGTCTGCCTTAAGCCTTGATCGATGAAAAACAGAACACTAGATCTCTCTATAAAGTGGTAATTAATGACAACGAAATTATACAACTTGATCATGGTGCCTTGGATTATGATAAAATAATGTCGTATACGTATAAATGTCTTCAAGTCATCTGAAGTTCCTCGTGGTAATTTATCCTGTCATTGAGGTTAACCGGATGAAAAAGAACAAGGAAGTGCAAATAATAACTGCATGAAACACACAGAAAAGTATGCAACACACGCAGAGAGAGAAAGAGATCCAAATCTATTAATAGGTAATGTAGGAAATCATGTGCTTTGAACTGATTCAGCTCTCTGAACTGAATCGAACCGGGTGCACCACTGATGAGCTCAACTCTAATCTAATCGAGTGAAATAACCGTCCGGTATTCAGACTACTTCGATCTTGTTGTTGTGATTGTGCAACTACTTGTTTCACTTAACCAATCAGTAGTATACGCATTTATGCTGACCTTCTGCATTGCCATTTATGTTAGCAATCAGATGGCATACTGAGATTTGAGTGATCTCAATTTCGAAATGAGACTATACTGAAATTTCATCTCTTCAAGTTTACACCAATTTCGGTCAATTCTCAACGACATGACTGATTTCGCGTATAGTCAGTCAGTGATCACATCTGTATCGATTGTCTCACTTTAACAACAATAAAGTACAGCTGATGGAAAACCAAGCTGATATGTATTAGTGAACCGTCTTATCTTTTTTCATCTTCAATCTCTGGCTTTTATATTCTTATTCCCCACTTCCTTATATTAGATAGAATAATATTTATATCATAGTAGTCACTATAATATCTTGATATAAATCAATTACTATTTAGTGAATAAATAATTTTCATCCAGTATCTGTCAGTTTTTCATGAGTAGAGTGCTCTCCAACGACAAAAGTGGTGCGGGTTAAATTCCAAACCGATGACGTACACTACTTATCCCCGCCCTAGGCGCTGCGTGCTAAGCCCAGTGGTAGGTACCTCACAAAAATGAAACAGAACCATGGCAACTGAAAGTAACCATCTTGTTACCAGCCTATTCAAATACATCTCAATAGCAAAATATTGTTTAAAAAGTCATTCCATTTATACCAATGTATTTGTAAATAGCCTAGTGACATGTAGTTCACGTTCAGATCATTATAGTTAGTGAAATTTTAAAGTTTAGAGTTTGAAAACCTGATATTTCATTCGAAATGTAAGGGAACCATAAATATAAACGAAATCAAATTGAAAGTAGAGTGAATTCCTCGTGTTAGATGCATGTCACATTTCACAACTCATCATTGATAGCATGTACTTATATATATATATATATTTGTATGCCTAGCAATTGCTTACGCTGCCTACAATGGCGAAAGCATGGAATGAATGCATGTCATATCAATTTCTTTTTATATGCTGTATGTGTATCTGTGTGGAGAAAGATTAGACTTTTGCACTTTCTTCGTTTGTTTTTTCCCCTTCTTCCAAAATGTTTAATTTAATCAAGAATATCAGTGTGTATTTTTTTTATATACTTTCTTTCTTTTACACATCGTGATGCTTATTGCTGATTCTGGTGCTGCTGATGATGATAATCTGATGAACAGGAATCACTGAATAAATTGATGAAAAATCTACAAAGTACCAGTCCATCATTTATTCGTTGTATTGTCCCGAATGAATTTAAACAACCGGGTGAGTTATGTATGCAACACTTATTTGCTACAACTGAACAGGTTACTGTTTCCTATCTGAATTCTTGAATGGAGAGTTAGTTTAGACAACAAAATAATAAATAGTAGAGCTGAAATGATAAAAAAGACAAATTGTTTTAGATACGATCCAAAAAGAGATAATAAATTATTACTATTATTTCTATTCCCTTGGGTTTTGAGTGGAACATAGGTCTTCGGCAACATATCACTGTTTCATCCCGTCTTCATTGGCCTTCTTCACCTGGTCTCACAAGTGCTGATAAGTTGGTATCTTCTCCATATCATCCTTACAGCTACTCATAACTCGCCGTTATCTATTCAGGTTCCACTCGACTGATAGCCTGCCAAGTGATACTGTTCAACGATCTTGTCAGGGAGCGTTCGATCCATTTCTATTTGCTTCGGAATATTTGTTAGATGATAGTGGAATCATACCTATCAAAAATTCCACAAATAAACGAAAGGTCTACTTGTTTCTCCTTTAGTTTTGAGCGATTCTCTAGCCCCTATCGATCAGTTGATCCGGACTAACTTGAAATCAGATTATTCTTCATAAATCTTTTTGCCAGTGCTATACCGATCAGTGGACAAAGTATATCTTCTTCAATAATTTCTACTTCAGCTTCCACAGATAAATCCAACATTAGTTAATGACAACTGGATGAATGTCTCAAAGTTCTAATGAGAAGCCATGTTCAGTAGGTTTCATCATGTCAGGGAGAAATGGATGCTCGTTGATAGCAATTGAGAATTAACAGAAGTTAAACTTGGCGGGTCGATGAATTCCTACCCGGGTCAACAAACTAGTCTTGTAACCTGAAGGTTCCAGTTTCTATCTCCTATGTGATCGTAGGAGCGTAGTGCTGAAGAGTCCTAAACTACTAATAAGAAACAGCCATTCGCTGCTTCCTTTGGATTTCTACTTCAATGAGTAAAAGGCACATCTAAGGTGTAATCGAAGGAGCAAGGGCGAATCATTCGCAGAAAAAGTAATAGAAAAAAATATGCCTTTTTCATTAACTAATGAGGGTTTCAAATTTAAACGAACTACAAATAATAAAATCTAAGATTATTTTAACTCCGATTTTATCTGGGTTCGAATCTGTTGGAATGCACACTTCATAATTCCAGGGTGTAAGCCCTTCAGTTGAATATTTGTGTCCCAGTATATTTCTAAGAACTCCTGATTTGGCTTTATTTGATGTCTACTATCCACCAGGTGAAATAAAACCGTCTCTCGACTCAGCTATACAGATGTACCTCATCGCAGAAAATTAGTTCTTTTAAACAAATTATTTAATAACTTTGTGAGCTATATATTTCTTTAATTCTTTTTTAGGTGTCATTGATGCTCACTTGGTTCTTCATCAGTTGCACTGTAACGGTGTGCTTGAAGGTATTCGTATTTGTCGTAAAGGTTTCCCGAATCGTATGATTTACTCTGAATTTAAACAACGGTAATTCTATGAATTATTCTGCCTTTTTCTTTTAATCCTTAACTTCCGTACATTCCCTCTTTATTATTTTCGTCGTAATTAATGAATTACCTTAATGTGCCAGAAAGTGAAGAGGGTTGCTCCTAAATGAGTATGTAGGTAACAGGAGAAGATAAGAGACTAAGTAAAGGACCTCTGTTAACCGAAGGCACATCCTATTTAAACATTCATAGCTACATTTATGTTTGTCTAGACCAAAGGAGAATAAACCGTTCTGATTGGTTGGTTATTGGTTCAAGGCTAAAGAAGTTATTGTCCAATGAGGTTATTTCACGACAACAACGGAAGTTAAATCCAGATTTGAGGGATAAACACTATTGAAGCCATTGACTTGTATTGCGTCAGGCATTATATTTATTAGGCTTCAGACTTCCGGAACTCTATAATCAATTATCTGCACCCAAACATCAGTGCTAAACAGAAATTATACGAACGCAGACTTCCAATTTTATCCTCTAAAACAGGGCTGTCTATTATCGTCGATGATATTCTTAATTGTGGTGGACTGGATTATGCATCAGACTGTAAACAGGGAACAAGGAGACAGGATTACACTGGACCACAGATGAAAAGACTCTAGAAGATCTGGATTTCGCAGATGACATATGTCTAATGTCACACAAACTTGAGGACTTGCAAGCCAAAAGCAACAAACTACCGGAAGAAGCAGCAAAGACAGGACTCCAGGTGAACATAGAGCAGACGGAGGCGATGGAGACAGTCAACTAACCGCAACAACAATAATAACCAGCACCAGTCACAATCAGCGGGAGATATTCGACAGAGTTTACCTCTTTCACTTATCTAGACAGCCAGCGTCGTTTCAACTAAAGGCGGACAACACGGATGAAGATGTCAAAGCCAGCCAGCCAGCCAGCCAGAATCGGAATGGCAAAATACGCCTTCATCAACCTGTGGTGAGAGCAGGCCGTGAGAAAATATGAGCAAGGCTGATTCAACAACCAATCACAGCAAAGTTAACGTGGCAAAATATGATTCGCAGATAGAGAACTCTATTTGTCGAGGAATCCCGAAACAACCAATCAGAAGCCTGCGTTTGTCTGCCTAACTTCTGATAAACAACCAATCAGATGACTGCGCTTGTCTACTTGCATAAGCTATAATAATGTATGTGAAATATGTATAAATACGTGTTGATTTTCATAATAAAACGATCTGTTGCCTGGCCCTTGTCTTCTGTTGTTACAAACCTAAAAGCAGTTTGGAAATCTACTGCACTCAGCATAAGAAACAAGATTCGCATTTTCAACACAAATGTCAAGTCGGTGGTCCTTCTATACGGGTCAGAAACTTGGTCAGCGTGTCATGAAAAGGATTTCAGACTTTTATCAATAGCCTCCACTTTCGCTGGCTCCATACTGAAAATCAAATGGCAGGCCGGGCAGAAAGAATTAGCAACAAGAAACTCTGAAGGGGAACAAACCAACAGGCGAGAGTCGACTGCGCAAAAAATATGTAGGAGAAGGTGGTGGTGGATCGGGCACACACTGAAGGGACCGTCGAGTGAAATCACGCGCAATGCAGGCCATCGCTCGAGTGAAGTCCCAATGAGAAGCTACGAGTGGATAGTTTGTGCGAGGGTGACATGTAGGAGATTGTGTGGCGAGGAGGAGATGAGAGATTTAGGGGGATCGTGGACCCAGCTGGCGAGGATGGCAGAAAACACAAGAAGGTGGAGATGTGTTGTTGAGGCCTTGTGTTCCACTCTTAACTCAAGGGAACAGTAATAATAATTTCATATAATTTCCGGCATATATGAATAGTTATTGCTAGCCAGATCTATGCGATCTAAACACCAGATAATTGTTTCATTCACCTGGGTTGGGTTCATCACGAATGTACCCTTTTGATTACTGAAGCTTAGAGAGCCAAATCAATTTCAAGAAGAAATTTTAAACAACTAGTCACTCATAAATCAAATGTATAATTTGAAAATTGGTCAGCAATTTCAACATAGATTCCTGTGGAAAATAAGTTACTGAGGTCACAATGTATGGTCTGCTTGATACGATAACTAGTAATCAAGAAAACGAGTATATTTGCATAAAACTATATACTACTGATGGAATGAGATGAGTAGTTGCATAGCGCTCATATCAACCAGTAGTGTTTACTAGTCATATCGAAGTTACCTAAACACTGGACGGCGGTTTCTTTCGTTTGGAGACTAGCTAGTTAGCAGTTTGTGAGTTTCACTTGTGTGTGTGTGTGTATGTGTGAAGTTCGACCAAGTAGCTAGCCCTAAATTGGGTGACCCAGTTACTCATTTAGTCTGTTCTCGATACTTATTCTGATAATTGTGGTTTTGTACACATGATTTTATGGATTTCATATAAGTGTCGAGCGGTACGGACGCTCGCCGACCATGCACATGGTTCGGGGTTCGATCCCAAGCCGATGCACTCCACTACCTCGCTAAGCCAGAAATAATCCTGGTAAAGAGGAAAGGTTGGACATGAGGCTAGCAACCCCATGCTGTAGAAAATAAACACTGCTACAGAAACTTCAAGCCACTAGCTTGAAGCCCTATGTTCCACTGGGAACGTCAAGGAAAAAATATAAGTGTTCGCTTCATTGAGGCTAAAACTATAGTTTAAAAACTCAGGGAATGCATTCAGTCCACTCGGATGCATACATGATAAAGACGGGATTATAGCTTTAGACTTAATGACTTGGAAATATACATGAAATACCAAAAGGAAACTAATACTGTCATGGATACTGTTACGGTTCTGTCACCAATATACGTACTGTTGAGTAGTTAATTGTCCTGATGCGAAAAGGGGAAAATCAGAAGGCCACCACATTCACGATGAAACGTGTATTTCCCAACAAGGGAATTTGACTGTCACACAAGTATGTTAGTGAAAGGGCACGTAGTGTACGAAAGGTATGAACAAGTGTGTATGAAAGTGTACAATGCAAAGTATATGTGAAAATGACTAATATACATGAACCAATACGTTAGACATCTTAACATGATTGGATTCTGATTGGTTGTAATGTCATGTGATAAAAAATTATACATTGTTTATTTAGTTAATGGACAGACAAAGCACATTGTCAGTTATAATGGAATATCGATCAATATACACGTAGCAAAATATGGCAGACTGTCAAAAACAAAACAGACATCATGTGACTACATATCAGATACGTGTCTCATCCTATTTATGGCTTGTCAGGTGTTCTCATTGGGACCTGGAATCAAGGACCTTCGATTCAAAACCAAAACTTTATGGATCGCGTTACTGAACCATTACAGTTATCTTTTAAGAAAATGGGATGTAGTAAAACTAGTCGAAGGGAGATGCAAAGTTAAAAAATTTCATTTTAAATAAATGTTTTCAAAACAGTGTTTACTCTTCAAAATGAGGAATTTCTTAGTGAGACTTTTAAATGGGAGTTTTATTGATACTTCACACCGAAAACCGAAATGAAGTACCCAAAAATGAGTTTACATTTTCGGAATAAATGCTTTATTCATCTGTAATAGTTTCGGTCGGCCTACAAAATGTGGGCTACCGATATCACACGCTGAAAATTCTATACTTTTTATTCGTTTCATTTTTTTTCCATTTATTTTTATCATGAAAGATACTCAATTCTGGCGCCAAATGTTATCCCTGAAGGATTTGTTGATGGTCGTCAAGTTACTGAGAAACTGTTGGAAGCCACACAATTAGATAAAAGTCTTTACCAGTGTGGTAATACAAAAGTTTTCTTCAAAGCTGGTACATTAGCCAGTCTAGAAGATATGCGTGATGACAAGTTGAATGGTATAATCAGTTTATTCCAAGCTGAAATTCGTGGTTATTTAATGAGGAAACAATATAAGAAATTACAAGATCAACGGTAAATCCCTCTTTATTGATTTAATTTAACTCAATTATACTACTGATGATGGTGATTATAAGAGTAGTAGATATTTGTTTTTTCATTGACGCTAGGAAAGGTAGAAGTTAGAACTGATGGTATTCATCGGATTCTGTTCCACTGTTTTAGTAGTCTACACACTTGCCTCGTAACATCATAGTCCTGAATCGGAATTTTAGTGAGGCCATGAACACCTATTGCAAATGAACCATAAACTAGCATGAAACAACTGTCTAGGACCCCCAGGGCCTTCAGTAGTTCTCTAAGTGATGTCAGTTCGTGACCTATCTCGGAAAAATTGGTATTATGTAAGAATCTGTAATACTTATTGTTGAACGTCTACTTCTGATTGACTATTGTGACATGAAACGAAGTTGGAGATATCTAAATTAGCTATATACTTCATCATTCCTTTCAGTATATTCGATGAGGTTGAATTATTTAACAATATAAGTGAAGCCATTACACTTATATTACTGAGGAATTTCCGATTCAAATGTGAAGAAAATGGTCATTCAGAAGTTAGATAGTCTCTGAGTAACTGGCTAAAAAATTAGTGCTGGAATTAATTGATATTATACTTAAATTAAACAATTTACTAAGAGATGCTTCTGAAATGTCTTAAATAATCCGTATCAGTGTTGGTTCGTGACGATAGTCCAACAATTGAAATCAATTCAACCCCCCTCCACAAGCTCTATAATCTAAATACCAATCGCCAGCTCACTGACTGCTAATGGATAGACGTCCTAAATCTTTAGTGAAAAGTCCTGATTAGTGGGATCCACCGTATCAAAATGAAGTGGATTCTCATCGAAGGTGCATGGGTTAGGACAGCGTTACATCACGAATTGATAAAGATAAAACTCAGGGGTCACTGACTTCCATTTCAAGTGGATAAATGATCAGTGAACTTGGTCTCGTCGCAGATTGAAGGTTTCAGGTTGGTGACCTAGTGGGGTCGTGGGTTGGCACTGTGAAGGATCCCAGAATGGGGTGAAACAGTTATGTAGGACTTCCTGGTTTTCAATGTTCTTTCTAACTAATTTTGGTTGGTTGGTGACAAAAAATCTAACAGTTATAAGATATCGTTATATCTCCACTTTCAACTCCTTTGAGATTTTTCAAAAGAATGGTTACTGAACAAAGAATATTGTTTACGATAACCTTCTCTTCATCAGGTTCTACAATTATATATATATATATATATATATATATAATAGTGAATGAATTAGTGTCGTTAACACCATTAGTGTTGTTGAAGGAACAGCGAATCAATAATAATAGTGACATCAATGGACTATAATTCGATGGCATCAACTTAACGATACACTGAATATCAGACATGGAAAATTAGGAAAGATAATGATACAAATTCATGAATTTACAGTCTCCACTGAAGGCCGGCCAGGGCAATAGTAGTGGCTGAACCTGTTTTTTCTGCACACAGAGCAGTGGTTTTTTCACGTGAACTGCCTTTGCTGTTTGGGGTGTGTGGTGACTGGATGTTTTTGGCAATTTATTTGGCTTTGTGGCTGGTTTGTACCAGGTGGTCTAATATCGAACTGTTGATCTCCTTCACCATACCTTTATTTAGCGACACTGGGAGATGTTCTCGAGCACGAAAAAATCAAGTTCCTAGAGCAGTGGCCAATATAACTCGCTCCACAATAAGCACAGTTGAATTAGTAGATGTAATTAAAGGTGGCTAATGTAGGTAATTCATCTTTCAGTTAAAGGATCACCATCGGTCGTTTAGAAATGATGACTTGTAATTTGCCAGCATTAAAAGTTCTTTGATTACATTTTCTTAACGTGTTAGTGATTATTTCTCCAGGTATATCGTCCTTGAATTGCAGTCATATGTATAAAGGTTTCTTATTTAAAAAAGGAGAGTAGTCCTTTTCTGCTTTCTTGGCCATGTGTTTCTTGATAAATTTGTCGGGAAAGCTATTTTCAATCAAGGTATAATATACAACCCTTAGTTCATCTTCAATTACCCCTTCTGAGTATATAGCTTTAACCCTGTGACTGAGGGTATTTACTAAATTTCTTTTGTAATGGAGAGGAAAGAAGCTATGAAAATGTGTTTATTGTCCTGTCCATGTGCTTTCCCTGTGCAAATTTCTCTTAATACTACCATCTGGTTTTCTTGTAAGAAAGGACATCTATGAAGGCAATTTTATTTTGGGATTCCTCTTCGCACGTGAATATTTCATAGCAGAATATACTTTAATGAACTGAGTTCTTATTGTGTTCCTATCCGAGTCGTTATAGTAAGGAGTAAAGGTGTCATCCACATAATATTGGCTATAAAATGAGAACTTTCTGATAAGATTGTTCAAAGCTCAATTTTCTAGTTTACTTAAAAAGAAATCAGCTAAAATGGGAGTCACTGGTTAGCCCATGCCACTCCTTCCATTTGTCAGCAAAGTGTGCCATCAAACTTGAAATTTACATTCATGGTACAGCTTAACAACAACTCTTTTAGGGTTTCCATAGGGAGGAGTACATTTATGCATAAGGATGTTATATCCAAAGGTATCATAGTTTTATCCTTGATATTAATATCTTTGATTTTGTCTACGAATTCGAATACATCTTTGACGCTGTGTTTCACTATTTGTTCATGCAAAGGTTTGAGAATATTTACCACTGGCAAATTTCAGATTACAATGTCTAGCCAATGTTTCCTACCAATCTTTATCTCTTGTTTTTTCCCCTTCATACCTTATTTAGTGTCGCTCTTACTCTGATGCAACGTAATATACGTAAATATTTAGTGTTACGTAATTGGCCATGGTGGAGATTGTACACAAAAGTCAAGCCAATGTTAAATATTGCCCGTCAAGAAGAAGAAATGAAAAAAGCTGCTGAAGAATTAGCTAAATTAAAAGAAGAATTTGAAAAATTAGAAAAATTGAAAAAAGAATTAGAAGAACAAAATGTCACTGTTTTACAACAGAAAAATGATCTTTTCCTACAATTACAAACAGAACAAGACAGTCTAGCAGATGCAGAGGAGAAAATCTCTAAATTAGTCCTACAACGTGGTGATATGGAACAAAGAATTAAAGAATTAGAAGAACGTTTAGCTGATGAAGAAGATCAAGCCGCTAATTTAACTGAAGTGAAAAAGAAAATGAGCGCTGAAATTGAAGAATTGAAAAAAGATGTTGAAGATTTAGAATCATCTTTACAAAAAGCTGAACAAGAAAAACAAACTAAAGATAATCAAATACGTACATTACAAGCAGAAATGGCACAACAAGATGAAACAATTGGAAAGTTAAATAAAGATAAAAAGAATTTAGAAGAACAAAATAAACGTACACAAGAAGCATTACAAGCTGAAGAAGATAAAGTTAATCATTTGAATAAGTTGAAAGCTAAACTTGAATCAACTTTAGATGAAGTAAGTTGGTGTTTATACGAGTGGATGAAAGGTTTTTGTATGAATGAATACATTGAAACTTCTTTTATGAGAGTACATGACATTCTAAGGGGTAGTAAGTAGGATTCTTCAACGGCTGAAACCTAGAATCAATCGTTTATAAAATACTTCACTGTCATCTGGTAGCTTGGTAGTCCCTATTGTGGTATTTGAAGTAACAAATTTCAAGCCCAAGTTTTAATGAGAACACAACCACTTTCTGTTGTACAGGTAATACCCATTTCAAGATATTAATTATATCATTCAAATAGTCTGTACCGTGTTATGCAGCTAAGAATAAAAATTAGTTTCATCTGTTCAACTGGTGGTTGCACAGCGGTTAGGACGCTGGCCGATCATGCACATGGTCCGGGGTTCGATCCCTGGCCCCCGACGAACTCCTTTACCTCGCTAAGTCAGAGGTGGATTGGAGTTTCTCTAGCATTGTTCAATTTTACAGGATGGGGTTGCTAGCCTCATGCCCAACTTTTCCTCTTCACCAGTCTTATTACTAGTTTAGTGAGGTAAAGGAGTGCTTCGGCTGGGGATCGAACCCCGAACCGTGTGCATGGTCGGCTAGCGTCCTAGCCGCTATGCCACCGACGCAGTACTGCTATCTTTTAATAACAAAAAACATTGATGCCTTGATAATGAAACTGTTATACAAACCGTCGAATCTATTGCAGCTTCGCTTCACAGATCAACACTAGTCTCAAGTCAGAATTCCTCGCACTAATCGGTGAATGTGTTAACATTTAATCTTTATCTGAGGATCGCGAAGCTGATTCTTGTTTGAGTTTAAAGTACTGACTAGTCAACCTTCCAGAGCTAGTACAATACTGCTTCTTTTCCAATGACTTTGTCGATGCTTCGCAATGAAACCTGTCTTAGATTCCGACAAATCCAACTTATGAAGTTGTAAAAGCCTGAGGGAAAAGTAATTTTCCAATCGGTATTCCTTATCCTAATTAAGAACTCATAATGAGTGCATAACAGTTCAACTCAGAATTTAAAATATCTTTGTCAGTATGTTTTATTGTTAGTGTCTACTAACTGAAATTATAAGTAGTCTGTACAATTATTAATCCCTTTATTATTTTTTTTTTAAAAATGTGTATTTTAGATGGAAGAGAATCTGGCTCGTGAACAAAAAGTTAGAGGTGATGTTGAAAAGGCTAAACGTAAACTCGAAGGAGATTTAAAAGCTACACAAGAAACAGTTGATGATCTTGAACGTGTTAAACGTGATTTAGAAGAACAATTACGTCGTAAAGATGCTGAAATTGGTGGATTGAGCGGTAAATTTGAAGATGAACAAGGTTTAGTCGCCCAGTTACAACGAAAGATTAAAGAACTTCAAACACGTATTCAAGAATTAGAAGAAGACTTGGAAGCTGAACGTGCAGCTAGGTCTAAAGCAGAGAAAGGTCGACAACAGGTATGCACTGTGGTCATTATAATTTTACCTTTTTTTATAAAATTATATGTATGTTAAATATCAACCTGAATGCAAATATCATAAGCTTGAATTATTTGTCTCCCGATTATAATAATTAAAGAGGACCTGCATCTTGAAGTGAATATGCTGAAGCTTTGAATGAGCACTGGATGAGCACACCCGATCGATAGATCAAGATTGAACAACTACGTCGGTATGTCGTCCTATAGGAGTTCTGTCGGATATCAATACGGATTATTTCCAAGGGTTTAAAGTTGACCATTGAATCAATTGGGTTAGAATGTGAGTACTTAAAACTCTTCACAGTTGAATGACGCCAGATGAAGTGGTTATTCTTGCTGACTGAATTTCAACACCTAGCGTATAACTAACTGGATCTACAAGAAATTTTTGACATGTATAGGTCTTAATCTACCTACAGATTTACTCATTACCACAGTTACTACTGAAGACACAGACGGATGAGTCTAGTTATAAAGGAAACAAACTGGTGACTTGTCTCAAAACATGATCTGTTTCTGGATTACAAAACATATGACATCAGTACAACAGTAAATGATACCAAACAATTGTTCTCCCACTTACGTATACATAACGTGTGAAATAATACGTTTAATCTAACTCATGTTTACATGTATTGAGAGAGAACACAAAGTAATAGAGTGGTGACTAGTGAAGTTCATCAGATTAGATACCAGGAAAATACTCGTCAATGGTACTGACCGTTGATGGAGCTGAAAATCACGATCGGATTCTGATCCGATTTTCTTAATGGTTAATAAGCTCACCTCGTAACCTGAAAGTTCTCCATGTTCGAGTCCTAATAGTGGGGTGATGGGTGTTTACTCCTAAAGAGGCCCATAAAAGGACGAAACATCCATCCAGTACTTCCCGCTGGTTCCCAATGTTTCTCTGACGGATATCAATCAATTCTCAAGTAAGTCTGAAATAGACACCCGTAGTTGTCCCTATTTGGTGAAAAGGATTTCCAGCAGTCTGTTGCAAACTTCTATCAACAGCTGCTCCTTCGCTGGTTTCATAATGAAGGTCAAATGGCCAAAAAGAATTAGTAAAAACAAACTCTGAAGGGGAACTAACCGACCGAGAGCCGATTGCTCATCCAATATGTAGGAGTAAATGCAGATGGATCTAGCATACACTGAAGAAATCATCGAATGACATCGCACGCAGTGCAGGTCATCTCTCGAGTGTAACCTAAATGGGAAACGACGAGTGGGTCATCGGTGTGAGGGTGACATGGAGGGGATAGTGCGAGGAAGAGATGAGAGATTATGGTCAATCTTGGACCAAGCTGAAGAGGACAGGAGAAAACACATGAAAGTGGAGATGTGTTGTTGAAGCCGTATGTTCCTCGCGTAACCCGAGGGAATAATAATATTATAATCAATAACAGATTGCGACTTATTATGGTAGTTAGAAGATTAGAGCAATTTGATGAAATGGCAGTAAAAACGATACACTTTGATGGATAGAAATTTGTAAGTAGCCTAATGAAGAAATCGTCAACGCGATAACGCAAGAATGACCTGAAATCTGGCTATTTCATTTTTCCGACATGGATGACCTAGTTTAATTTGGTACCGCCTCTGCAGTTCCTAATTCTGAATTGATTTTTATGTGGAATTAGAACAAAGGGTTTGACTATATATACTGCCATTGTAATATTTGGAAAATGTCGACATTTTCATTTTCTACATGAGTGAACATAGATAATGATGACGTATCTTGATATGTGAAGCGTCCTTAATACAACGCTTCCGGCAAAAGTCACCAGAAAAATGCTTCCCTTGTAACCCGTAGGGTAATTCACTTGTGTGTTCACTTTTTTTAACAGTAGGGATTAGATTTAATTCACTTTAAATTTTCCTGTCTGCCGATTGGACAGGAGAGCTCGATCTCAGGTTGACATGTCGACTCCTTGTGTAGACACTTCGACTATGTCTAGTGGATAACTCTTCGGAGAGATTACTCTTGAAATAACGGGGGCTAGGTTCGAGACTTGGTGGGAACACCATCACTTACACACCACGGAATGCGGGTACACCCAGATGATGAGTTAGTCCCAAATAGGACGAAATGTGCATCCTAGATTCCACTGCTAGTCATCTTCCACCAGTTGACTTCAAGTGGTGATTAGATTAGCGTTTGAAAAGAGGTTTTCCTTCATTAGAATCCTACATACGCAATCATCTGTCTGCTGTATGATAGAAAATATTAGTGCATCATTAATTGATGTTGTTTTAAATCTATCTTTAAGCTTGAAAGTGAACTGGAAGAGGTTGTTGATCGATTGGAAGAACAAGATGGTGTTACAGCTGCTCAAACTGATTTAACAAAGAAACGTGAAGCTGAACTTATGAAACTGAAACGTGATCTAGAAGAAACTCGTTTACAAAATGAACAAGCTATTGCAGCAATGCGTAAAAAACAAAATGATGCTGTTAGTGAAATTGCTGATCAGCTAGATCAAGCTAATAAAGCTAAAGCCAAGTAAGCCCTTTTATTTTCCAGTGTTATTACTTCACTTTTTCATTCAATAAAACTTACTTTGTGGACTTTAGCGTAGTTTGAAGAGGATTTCAACAGTTTCGAAGGCAAATTATGCATTTCAATCGATTATTCGGTCAGTAATGGTTACCTTAATGTGGTGGTGTAGGTTGTATATCTCACTGAGTCAGCTAGCTACACTGACTGAAGGTCCTACCATGTCAAAAAAATGTCTGAATAGCGGTGAGACTGAAAATCGTTACTGTCATAGTGCAAGTTCTTTATAATATATTGGAAGTCTGAGGGTGAAGCCATACTGCTGGCGAAATGCAGTTTAACAAAGATTATGTGTTTCCATAGACTGGTCAGCTACGCTGCCTTCCCGCTCGAGGGGATTAGGAAATGTTGGCCCCGAAAATTGCATATTCACAATCACCCTGAGTTGGTTCGTAACCGACAGTTTGGTATTTGTACTGAAGCAACTCTGAAAGCCACTTCAATCTGTTCAGTCCATTTACATTGACTTTTATTGATAAACGTCAGCTTGTAAATCACAGGAAATCAACTATAACCTGAATGCCCACTATCCATCTCTAAATATGCCTAATTTCTTTCAGGATTCTCCCTATTCTTCTTCTTCAAACAGTTATGTCGAAGAAAAGAATGAGTATTAATCAACAGTGTTGTGTTGTACATTTTGTTGTTAACTGAATGCTTGTGAATATTTTCTTCTTCCTAATCGTCAGAATTGGAGAAGTAGCTTAAAAATCCCAATTGAGTCTTATGAAAAAGAGAAGACGTTCAGCGAATAGACTCTTTTCGGGGAATCTATTCCCATAGCTGTACAATCGAATCGCATTTATATACAATTATTTGTGTGTGTGTGTGTGTGTACATGAGGTTTGTCAAAATTAGATAATTGATCAGGTAATACAAGGATGATCTCATATAGAAGCGAGGTTAATTAGACAGCATCTAAAGTAAGATTGAGTTAGTAAGTTAGATGACGTAATATAATTGACTAAAATGTTTCAACTTAGGTCAGGGTAGCGACAGAGGTAATTACAGGTAGAGACTAAGTAGAAGTGGGGTAGATAATAATGCCATTTAAATTAGGACTAAAGCGGGGCGAATAAATTGGATGACGTAACATAAATGACTAGAAATTCAGCGTTGGTCAGGTCAATTAAAGTGGTAGTGAGGTGCAGAAATTAAATCGGGTGGAGGCAGAGAACAAGAAAGTTGAAAATGTAAAATATTACAATTGAGAAGACAAAATAATACTAAGGAAGGGACAGAAAAAAAAAGAGATTAGGTAGAATTTTCTTGTCGGGTAATAAGATAGATTACGTCCATTGCAACTGTAGCGATTGAATGAGCTTCTTCTGTATGCAGAGTTTATGGCTTATCAAGTGAATCGCCATTGCTTCTGAAGTTTGAAGAAGTTTGACTCGTATACTTTTAGGAAGACTGCTTCGTATTCTGTAGACGACTTTAAAGTTTATTTGGGGTGTAGCATAGTGTCTGGAATCTATCAGATGTTCTGAGATAGAGCTGCGGAGGCATCTGTTTTCTCCTTTGTAAAACCATGCTGGTATTGGAGAAGACAGATTTCATGGTGTTTTAGCATATTTTGGGGTGAATAGATCTGATGACTGACAGATAATAAGTGTAGAATTTTTCACAGAACTGCTTCTGCTCAAAGTACCATACTTTGAAGCACTACTAACACGTGGTGAAGGAAGAAAGCAGATGCGAAATGATAATATAATGAGATATCATGAGAGTAAGAGAGAATATAGAAATAAAACAGTTAATACGATAGATATTCTGGTGATACAGAGTGAATCTGTCAACACTAGTATGAATGATTTCGATCAATCTACCGAGTCTTTTTCAAACTGTCGATTTCTGAAATCCTAAATACTTCAAACTAACATCTTATATCATGTTATGTGTATCTGAATGATTGTCAGAATTCAGGGATTGATGGTATTTCTAGCTTTTATCCTAATTCTAATAAAACTACTAATACTTGCCCAGGTACACACAGACTTGGAGTATTGTAACACATACTTCAAACTGCCCCCCTGGATGGTCAACATTCAATACCTAATTACCTGATTTACCAACCAATTATGTGCTTATTTTTATTATATCCTTTAATTCCTAGAGGAACATAGGGTTTCAGCCGCGCGTCTCCGTGTGCTTATACGTGTCCAAATTAGTTTTTAATCTATCTCTGAACTATTCAAGATTTTCACTCAGTCTTTCATACAGTATGTTCTGATTATTCCCTTGGGTTCCAAGTAGAAGTCCATTATGGATAAGATTTTATTTTGATAAATTACACAGTGTTGTACAATTATATTAACTGATGACTTTTCAAGCACAAACTATTGCTCATAATCATAATCAGTGCTCATATAATACCATAATCATATCAAAATAAAATCTTATCCATAATGGAGTTATACTCTACCACAGCGCCCAAGTTTTATACTTATATCAGTAATACATGTGGTCTTCCTACTAGGAAGCTTACCAATAAACTCACGCGACTTTCTCAAACAGAAGCAAAATTCACAAACCATCGGAGTTTTAATAGTCGATGTTTAAAAAATTATATAATTCCAAAATATATGCGCATATGCACTCCAATTACTTCAAGGAAAATATCATCAGCAGCTGAACATCTCAGTAGATTATGTCTAACAGAAGAACTACATCGAATTACTGTGAAACTAAATAATATACTAAATGAAATCGAAAAACTCAAACAGAAACTCAAATGTATGGTCAGTGACCAAGATTATGTAATTGTTGTTGAAACATCCGAAAAAGCTAGAGAATCAGCCTTAAGAAAATCAAAAACCACACGAATAAAAAAATTCAACAAACTAATGGAAGAAAAGAGCACAATAAATGAGACTGACGTCAGCGTTTCATCCTCTCTTGACAGAACAAAATGGGTGATCAACCTCTCATTAAGGGAACTAAACTCTAGTGAGATAAAAGTACTTGAAAAAGGACTGAATTTCAATGTAACGGTGAGTAAATTAAAACCAGAGGATGTCATTCCTAACATAGAAGTAGCACTAGGTTCAACAGGTAAGACAACAGCAGAAGAGGTTCGAGCACAATGTACATTAACCCTGGGAACTTGATATGATTATGAGCAATAGTTTGTGCTTGAAAAGTCATCAGTTAATATAACTGTACAACACTCTGTGATTTATCAAAATAAAATCTTATCCATAATGGAGTTATACTCTACCACAGTGTCCAAGTTTTATGCTTATATTCCGAGTAGAAGATAGGGTTTCAGAAGTACATCTCCGTTTCGCCATGTTCTGTACAATCCCTATTATTAGACGGCAGCGTGGCCGAACATGAGTTTTCATCTTCTTCTCAGACGATCCCTTTCTCTTGTCCTCCCTAAGGGTTCTCCTGCTGCGTAATTTTAGTCTCAGCATTTGTCCAATCCATTTCAACATTCCTTAGTCGATAAATTGTTGATTGGTCCGTCACCTGGCAGCATTTTTTGTTGTTGTTATTTCTTGTCATTAGCATACACTAAAGTATTATTATATAAACATTTCATTTTAGGCCCTAATAATAAATTAAGTAATATGACAATTTTTTCGTAAAATTTTATTTTTTAGAGCTGAAAAGGAGCGCAGTCAATTTAAAGCTGAACTGGATGATGCACATAATCAAATGGATGGTATAATGAAGGGCAAGGTGAGTAGTTAATCCAATTTCAGAGAATGAAACATACATTAATATTATAATCCTTTTTATTCAGAGAACAAGAAAAATATTTGTGTGAACACTTGTAATTTGAACAACTTCTTCAGTCTGTATAGTTGAATGGTTTGTGAATATTGGAATATAATAGCGTCGGTGGCACAGTGGTTTAGACGCTCACCGACCATGCACGTGGTCCGGGGTTCGATCGCCAGCCGACGCACTCCTTTACCTTGCTAAGCCAGAAATAAGGCTGGTAAAGACGGAAGTTTGGGCATGAGGCTGGCAACCCCATCCTGTAAAATAAACACTGCTACAGAAACTTCAAGCCTCTAGCTTGAAGCCCTATGTTCCACTAGGAACGTGATGGAAAAAAAATAGCCATTGAAGACCAATCTAAATTATATCAATAACTTTAATGTGGTACAGGTATATGATGGAATACTAGTTCGTATATATATATATAACTGACATAGGGGAGGACAAGTCATATTCACAGGTGTGAGAGAAGCATGCCTACCACAAAAATATGAACAAACATATGGGACATGCTGAATATAAGTTCCAGAACTGGCAAATAACGAATATTCAGGCATTGGTTTTTGTAGGAATTTAGTTTGATTGGATGGAGGATTTCATCATGAGCTGACATCAGTTAGAAAACCATTGGAAAACCTGCAGAGAGTACTGGACAGTTGTTTATTCCTAGTTTGGGACTCTTCACAGTACGCATCCAGAGGGGTTCGGACCCAGGACCCAGTACTACCAGGTTTTCCAATGGTTCTCTAACTGATGGCAGCTCATGATGAAATCCTCCATTCAAATAACGAGTATAATGAGAAATTAAAGTGGTCAAAAGGTGAACTGTAATTAAATAACGGAGAGAAGTTGAGCTTCATGAAAAATAATGGTGGTAATAGTGATGTGAAGGGAAGAAGACTAAAAGGAGTAAGAAGGGTACAATAACACATGAAAACTGATGTGACTACATTCCCGATGACCTTACAGTAAGCCATGGTAAACAAAGAGAACGAATATTGGTATTTTTGTACACAAAATAGATTGGTTCTTATTTTGATCCCTCTAGCTTCAGCTGTGGCTGATAGGCGTAATCGTGCTGTAAATGACTCATCTATTTTGATGCAGTGTTCAGTATCTATTAGATAAGATAACACTATTTATTGATTTAGTTACTTCTTCTCCAAGCCAAACTGGTGCATATTTAAGAATGAGTTCAACCTTTATAACTAGCTATTCAGGAGCAGTTAAATTTGTATACATATACTGATGTGACCATCATTAATGATTTATCTTCCATACAGTGTATCAGTATAGGTCTAGCGGAGTAACTGACGTGTAGTTCTGAAGTACTGAAGGTTCGTCCAATAGATCTTATCTGCTCGAGGCTAAGTATAAGATTAGATATATCGCCCTTGAACTGCACTCTTAAATAATGCGTCATTTTAATCATTTCATTTAGATGTATAGCTCTTTACAAGATGTATAGGATAACCAATTTTTTCGTGTTATATTGCATGTTATATCACTTGATTGGACACTAAGTAGCAAGTACAAGTATGAATCTAATCCTTCCTTTGGTACACACCAAATTCTGTCAGTCAGATTTGCAATATAGCAACCATGCTAAGTGACTTACCATCACCTGGTGTAACGACCTAAATCAATTCGTTATGGTCTGAACGCAGGTAACCAATCTTTGCTTCCTGCTATATATATATATATATATAGCTGTTGTCCAAAACTTCCATGAGAGATGCACAGTTAGAAAACGACGCAGAGACAATAGAAAGACGATTATTTTTTAAAATTTTTTTTCACGTAAATCACGTAAATCACAAAAAAAAATACCTTACAATCAAGTAGAGTATTCCCAAGAAGATGGGATGAAAACTGTGTCTGCAAGAAAAACATACCAACGATTAACACAAACAGTTCAAGGTCACAGTCACCATAATCCATTTAAACAAAGTCACATCGTAAAACAACACCATTATTAATATGTCCCATAATCAGAAATAAAAGCATTAGAAATTAGAGACTGAACAAGAACAAAGAAATATTAACCAGGGTTAAGTCAACATTTGATGTTGCAAATATCAGAACAGTGATATACAGTATAGGAAAAAAATGGATAATATTTACAAAGTTAGTTGGGACATCCAAATAAGTACAAATACTGCCATTTGACTGTTCAGGATGGGGTTTCCCAAACATTTATCCCGTCACACTTGGATTCAAATCTCAGAAGGGATATGAATTCCTTCAAGATTGCTGACATTTGCTAACAAGCAGGGCATCTTGACGATTGCCTTCGACCATCTAATAATAATACTTATACCTTTGTAAATACCATGTAATGAAATGTTTACCCCACCTGCTTTCTTCTCTTTTAGTTAAACGCTGAAAAGACTGTTAAAGCTTTGGAAGCACAATTACAAGAAGTTTCAGCTAAATTAGATGAAGCTAATCGCAACTTAAATGAACAAAGCTCGAGTAAATCACGTACTAGTCAAGAAGTCTCTGAATTACAACGTCAATTAGAAGAAGCTGAATCCCAATTGAGTCAATTAGGCAAAATTAAACAACAGCTTAGCTCACAACTAGAAGAAGCACGTCATAGTTTGGAAGATGAAAGCCGAGTAAGTAGAATACATGGATACCTTTTTAATACGTTTATCCTATGCGTATTTTTTTTTTAAATTTCATATCTTTTGGATGGTTTTGAATATTTGACACTGGTTGACATCACTTCTCAAAAACACCTAAAAAAAATAGCTGAGCAATTTGTAGTCAACATCTCTAAAAGAACAAGTTTGTATTGAACCAATTTATGACATGCCTAAGAAATTAAAACTATGTTACTCGATAAATTACTACTACTTGTTCCCATTTATCAGTAGTATACGCTCCAGAGTTTGACAGAAGGCCAAAGAGATTGAAGGTTATAAATTCCAGCGAGTTATACACAACCGGATGTTTACTCATTGATTTACTGCCCAACTAATCGGTCTGATTGTAAATGTGTCTGTTAGAGGAAACAATTGAAACGAATTACAGTGACACGAGACATCTATTCTGTTTTTATGGCTTTAAACTGGTATATAGGTGATAAAAGTATTTCGTGATGAAAGACAAAGCATACCCATCTGATTGGTTCTCAGGATTGTTATTAGGCAAAACAGACCACACACAATCAGTTATAATGTCAGTTGTCTATAATAAAAATCTAATCAAGGTTAAAAATCAAACAATTTATTAAAAGAAATCAGCACAAATTACTTCCGTTTGGAGATGTATTGAAAAGACTTCCTTTCTGAACTGTCTTCAGATTATCGTTAAGGTGATTGAATTATTGAGTATTGTATCCTTGAATTCTACTAGTGGAAATGCTGCAGACATCAATTCTTTGCGTGGGCGTATACGATTCTCAGATATATGGTCTGATCATCAAAGAAACGGTCACAAATCGAGATAACAGATTAACTTTCAGCGAGAGTTTAAAGCAGTTAGTTCCCTTTATGAATTTTGACATAATAAGAAGACGTAGTTTATCTGAAACGTGTAATGTATTGGCGCAACACATTTCGGATATTCTGATCACACACGTACTTGTCGTACACAGTTTTTACTGAAGGCAAGAAGGTATGCATTATTACAATACAGGTCAGATTGTGTACAGGTCAAGGTCACAGATAATGGGTAGGGAGCCGCAAAAGGTGTGGGTAAGAAAGATAAAAAGAGAAAAGAGAAAAACAAGGCAAAGAAGGGGTTGAAAATATTATGACGTAAATTGGTCCTTGGTTCTAAATTGGATTACCAAGGCAGGTTGAAGGTGATAACAAATAGCTTTTGGACACATGAGACAGGTTTGCCTTTTCATGGCTAAGGCTTCAATGAATCTAAGTATGTGGCCCAACCTTGTTTTATATATCGGCTTAAAGGGATTGTTGAAATCAACCTTGTGATCCGTCTGTATAATATGCTTCGCTATAGATGATGTTGGACATCTATTTCAGCGAGAGAAGAATCATTCAGAAGACACTGTTCCTCTGCTAACAAAAACCTATAATAATGTACACAAAAATGTATATATATAAAAGCTGTTGATTTTCTCCATCAACGATCTGTTGCCTGGCCATTGTCTTCTGTCGTTACGCTATTAGTGAATGGTCTTACCAAGGGTTTAGAGAACTATAGGCACTGTAGTAAATTATATTGTAAAGTGACAGGTTATTTACAATTTCTAAACAGTTTATTAGGTTGAAACGGACTACGGCTTGCACAGCTAAGAAGCTGACTTATACGCTGAGTTAACTCTAAAAGCCACATCAGTCATCGATGGTAAATAACTAGCAGGATACGGAAAAGTAAGAGGAGAAAGAATTAATCGTTGGAAGTGAATTACCTTTACTGTTCCAGAAACAGTGAACAGCTGCGAATGTACATGCACTCAATGTGACCTTTTTTATCCAACAGTCAAGTCACTGATGTATAATTTGAGTATTCCGGGTATCAAAATTAAAGGAAAATTACATAGTTAAACCGACTGGGTAAGCCTACCACCGCGTTCTTGAGAGTTGTCCAGCGTGGTTAGTTAAAGGAGTCGTATAATCAGACAGGAGTTCCATATTAGCTGGGAAATCTAGGGGATACGGAACAAAAGATTGATAAACATGTAGCTACTACAATCCTGTACAAAGTGCCAACTCAATTCCCTAGGTTTGTACGTCTTCAACTACTAAGCAAAGCTGAGACAGTACGCATAGAAATTTTCAATCCAATCTCTCTGTTCGATAAAATGTTTGTTAAATCCTTCTGCCTACTATGGTCTTCAACTCCAACCTAGAGTAGTTATCCCTTCCAGTGACACTGGCTAGATGTAAGTATTATTTTTATTTGTACTGCTAATTTCATTATCAGTGTCATACTGTGCTATAGTTGCATATTTTAGTCATAGTCTCACTGGTAGTAACCGATGGTGGCTCGGACTTCAGGAGATGTAGAACAAAAACAAGGAGAACACAAACTTTGACACCAAAGGAGTGGGAAGTGATAGTTTAAGTTTTAAGTTATGTGAAGGGGAACCATTTCCTGAGACTAATTTCGGCAATCTCTTATTGACTAGCAAGATTTCGCCAGCATGTTTATTCTACTTAGGGTTTTTTTCTCTCATAATATTGAAATAATAACAACTCTGTTTTATTCTTTAGATGAAAGCTAAACTGAACGGTGAAGTACGTAACTTGAACAGTGATTTAGACTCATTGCGTGAAACACTTGAAGAAGAACAATCAGCTAAAGCTGATTTACAACGTCAATTGCAAAAAATGCAAGGCGAATTACAACAATTACGTGCTCGTGGTGGTGGTGGTGATGTACGCTCTGAAGAACTTGAAGAATTGAAACGTAAAATGAATGCTAAAATACAAGAATTAGAATCTGAAGCTGAATCTGCCAAATCAAAATGTAGTCAACTAGAAAAGACTAAAGCACGTCTACAAGGTGAACTGGAAGATTTAATGGTTGATGTTGAGCGAGCCAATGGTTTAGCTAGCCAACTTGAACGTAAACAAAATAACTTTAATCGTACATTAGCTGAATGGCAAAAGAAATATGCTGATTCACAAGTAAGCATAACAGATTTGTTGTGTAGCCTATATGTAATACTTAAGAATTCAAGAGATTCTGGTCTATCTACCCTTATGGGAATATATAAACAATCTATAATTGTATCTTCAGACAGTCACTTCAGATTTCAGATTTATTGGTTGTGAATAGAAGGCTTGGAGCCTATATTAATCCTTTTCTAGTAAATTTCTGTGGTTGTCCAAACCCTTCTTGAACCAGTCAGTTGAGGTTGCAGACACCACTTCTTCTGGGACTCAGTTCCAGGAGTTCATGACTCAGTGTGAGGACCAGTACTCCACAGCAGTATGGGTTTTCCTTGGCTTTTGTACTCTCCTGCTATGTCCTCTAAGGTGTTCCGACCTGGTGGTAAGGAAAAGAGAGAATAAGTCAGGTCCGTAGTCATTATTTAAAATTTTAAGCATTGTGATTAAATCTCCGCTCTGCCTACGGTATGATAGGGAGAAACAATACAAACTGTTTAGTCTTTCTTCGTATGATAAATTAGTCATGCCACGAATAATACGTGTTGCTTTACTTTGAACCCTTTCTAGAATATGTGAGTCCCTTTTGAGACAAGGACTTGCTACTTGGATACATTTTTCCAGTGTTGACCTCACCAGAGATGTAAATAAGGAGGTGAACATATCTCCAGTGATTCTAGTGAATGCTCTACGAATTGCCCTTAAGGATTTTTTTTTTTGATTTTTTTTGATTTACAGCTTGATTCCAAACTGTATTTTTGGTACAAGTATGGAATTTTCAGCATGGATATCGGTAGCCCAAATTTTGCAGGCCGACCATAGATATCAGGTGTGCGCCGGCGTGGGCTCGAACCCCGGACCATGTGCATGGTCGGCGAGAGTCCTAACCACTGTGCCACCGATCTGAAACTACGTGCAGCCACCGCGTGACAGTGTGCTGTATTTTTTAAGTCGTGACTTACTAAAGTGATGGGAGTTTTTTTCCCTCCAGTTCGTAGGGGCTGATGTTTGTGTGTCCAATGCGCATGGTTGTACATTTCGCTACATTGATCGGGAGCATTCATTCTTTGGACCGCTCTAACAATTTGTTGAGGTATTCAAGCAACGTGAGCGTATCACTGTCACCCTTCAGCTCTCCCCAAATTTTGAAGTTATCTGCGTATATGACCATAGGGGAATCGGTGTGCAGAGATAACTCATTGATGCACAGAATAAATAGAAGAGGTCCAAGTATTGGTCGTTTCCATTGATCTGTCACATGGCTTATTCTGTATTAGTCGGTAAATTAAATCTGTAGTAATATGTCTGTAGATCGACGATCAGTATGAGTATCAGGCTTCTAAGAATTCCCTGGAATTACTTTTTGTGTTGTTGCACTGTTTAGAATATCTAATTTTCCCGGTCAAATTAGTGTCCGTAATTGTCTATATGCATTGGTATGGGAAGAATGCATGTCGCGTCTTTTCTTAGGTAGTTTATGTTTTTGGACTTAGAGTCAACGGTGACGCCCACTTTGATCAATACTGTGCTTATCATAATTGATGCAATTTACTTTCTGGATGGTGTTGATCTTGTCATCTTTTGCTGTTGGGTGGGTCTTCTGGTCTGCAAAATATTCAATTATTTTGCATCCGAATAAATATTATTTATATAATGAGCAGTAGTCATACCATCTGCCTCCGGATTAGCCGACTGCCACTCTACTAAGTGAACTGAGTTATAATTAGGGGAGTTGATCATTAATTACTTGATGAGAGTATCTTAGATAACCTCTGACAGACAGGCTGAGTGATATTTTTATCATGGGTTTGGGATTAACATAAAGGTATATACCAGTGACTCACACAACATCTGATGATTGCACTGAGATTCTAACCTGATTAGTAACCGAGTCTTCTACAAACGGACTAATAATTCAGAGGAGACCAGTTCAAGTCCTGCGGTCGCATAGATTTTCACTTTAATTTCAGTTGTCGCCTATCAAATCAACAGCTATTTCAGATAGTCTCACCAACAAGGTGAACTACTTTATTAGAATGACAGTAGCTTAACACTTTAAGGGTTCAATGGAATAGGAAATTAGAACCACGACAATTTATTTAATTAGATATAAGTAGTCATTTTTTTTCAAAAAAATCACACCAATCAATTTGCTTTTTCTCTTTTAACAGGCTGAATTAGAAAATGCTCAACGTGATGCTCGTGGTCAATCAACAGAAATCTTCCGATTGAAAGCACAACTTGAAGAAGTTCATGAACAAATGGAAGGACTTCGTAGAGAAAATAAAAACTTAAGTGGTAAATACTCTTTAAATAAATTTCTAATATATAATTTATGTAATAAAGAAGAAGATTTGTTGTGTAAGCAGATGTATTTTAGTCTGGTTGAGTTCTCCACACACTAGATAGCTAAACTGACATTCACATGTTGAATATGTCCATATCTAAGAGAATGCAGCCACATTGAAAGCATTCATCTGAGCTGCACATCTTCTCTGTTCTATGATTTGTTCAAACATTAGAGTCATTTTCCAATTTTCAAGCATTGGTTTTGTAGGAATTTTGTTTGTTTGTATGGAGGATTTCATTATAAGCTGAAATGAGTTAGAGAACCACTGGAAAACCTGGAAGTACTAGACAGCTGTGTGAATTAACAGAAGTTAGAATTCGCGAACCGTTGGATCGGGTCCCAGTGGCTGAATGGTCTACGAGCTCGCCTTGTAACCAGAAGGTCCTGGGTTTGAACCCCTGTGGTGGGTGCGTACTGCTGAAGAGTCCCAAACTAGGACGGAGGAAACAGCTGTCCAGTACTCCCAGGTTTTCCAGTGGTTGTCTAGCTGATGTCAGCTCATAACGAAATCCTCCATGCAATCATTTTCCAATGTTTTAAATATAGCAATCTACTCATTTATGGGAAAATGAAAGTCAAATTTAAGATGAAATAATAACTGTTCTGCTAAAAATTAAATAATCGAGAGTTGGTTTGTAGGGATTCGACTGGTTGCTGGTTTTGCCATGGATAGAGTCCCAGAGGATCAATGGTTCATGAGCAGGTTTTGTAACCGGAAGGTTCTGCGTTCGAAGTCCAGTGGGTGCTTACTGTGAAGAATCCCAAACTAGGATGAGACGGCTGACTAGTACTCTCAATAATCATACTCGTAAAAGCTCAAATAATAATAGTATTTAAATAAGCGGAAAGATAATGAGAATATTCCAGACAAGAGGTTGATTCATGACACAATTTAAAGCGTAAGTTCAAGGGTTATCGACTCCTTGTTTTATCAACTGACCTGGAGTCTCTTTTTTTCTTCAAATTAACATCCCAATTCTGTTATTATCGTTTTATCGTTCAATTTTGACTATTTTGAAATCCTATCCGAATTCTCATTTGCACATCAGAATGTTTTTCTCTGAAAAGTAATGACATCAAACAGTAGTACTTGTTATTAGATGGTTGGAGGCAATCGGCAGGAAGCCTTGGACCTAGGTTTCGTGCTGGTTGGCACTCATCAGCAAGGCGTATCTGCAACCTTGAAGGAACTCATGTCCTTTCTGAGATTCGAACTTGCGTCACTCAGTGCTGCAGTCAGAGACGTTACCACCAAGCTATTCAGGCTCAGGTCCAAAGCTTCCTGCCGGTTGGCTCCAACCATCTAATACTAACATTTCACAGCGCGCCGTAATGGCGAGCCACCTAGCATGGTGGCCACATTGCAAGCTTGACTGATAGAATTCACTCTGCACCGAAGATAGGACTAAACACATTACACTAGTTACTGACTAGTGTGCAATCAAAAGTTAGTACTTGCTAGCCAGAGCGAATTGTTCTAAAAATGGGACGGCAATTTCGCTCATTTAAGATAAAGGTCCTCAACTGTGTGCATGATGAGACTACCCGAATTCGTGCTTGTTGCTACTTTCACGAACTGTGAATCATTAGAATTGAGTCTTTCGTTCACTGATTGAGTAATTAGAGGTAAAAAGCTGTTTTCTAAGCTTAGTCTAACCATATATACAGTTGGTGAGCCCAAACTGAAACGAGAGAAATGGCCATCCAGTGTATAAATTACTTCAGTCTAGCCACGAATGATCTACATGAATGGTTTCTGACTACTCATACTGTAACGACAGAATACAAAAGCCAGGCAACAAATCGTTTATTGACAAAATCAACAGATATTTATAGATTTTTATGTAAATTATTGTCAGTGGAGAAGCAACGTCTTTTGATTTGTTGTTTTCTTGCTGAAGATTATTCTGTACTGCTTGTAACCGTTTCTCAGAAAGTTAAGCTATATATCTGCGAATCGTATTTGCACACGTTATGTTTGCCGTGATTGGTTGGTAATTTCCTCAAAGTTAAGCTTTCTTATTGTTTTTTCCCCTGGCCCAAATTCGAGACGTAACATTGACGTAAATTTTTGTCTGCAATTTCGGCTTGCAGCTAACTCTCATCACAGTACCACCTAAAATTATTTTAACGATGGTATCTACATAATTTTAGTTAGCTACCTTTTTCATTGTTTCGTATATGCACATACCGCCAAGCGAATTTTTTAAAAACTTGATATAACTTTGAGATCATAAGTACTAATTATTTTTTTCACAAAGCTAATCACTGACACTGTTTTTTTAATTTTTAGATGAAATTCATGATCTTACGGAACAATTGGGTGAAGGTGGACGTTCAGTACATGAAATCGATAAGACTAGAAGACGACTTGAAATGGAGAAGGAAGAACTTCAAGCAGCTTTAGAAGAAGCTGAAAGTGCTCTTGAACAAGAAGAAGCTAAAGTGCAACGTGCTCAACTTGAAATGAGTCAGGTTAGAAAAAAAATTGATTTTCATCTTTTTTGGGCATATACATATATGTAGGCGTGTAGAATGTTTGGAGTGTTTTATAATGAAACCAAGATTGTTCTGGTGTCTCCTTTAAAAAGAATTCTTTTTGGGAGAGTATAAAATATTGATCAGAATCAGCATGAATTTTTAAACTTTAGGATTACAAACAGCAATCGAATAGTTCATAATACATAACACTACCCTAACACAGTAACCCTAGATACAGCGGAGTAACGTGGAAACAATATGACGTCAAGTATATTACATTATCGCTCCTTTAAATTCTACGTTAAACATAGGGCTTCCTTCAACAGCACATCTCAACTTCCTGATGTTCTTTTCAGTCTTCTTTAGCGGACTCCACGGTTGCCTATAGGCTCTCATCTCTCTCCCTCTTGCATAAACTCCTCCATGTCATCCTCGGTCCAACACCTAACTCCGTGTTTCCAATTCGGCTTCTATTCGAGTGATGACCTGGCGTGCGATGTCTCCTCAGAGTTTGTCCTATCCATCTCCACTTTCTTCGGCATATCTGTTGAGCAATAAGTTGTTCACTGGTTTGTTCCCAGAGCTTCTTGGTTGCTAATTCTTGCTGATTATTTGATCTTCAATATGCAGCCGAAGGAGCTGTTGATAAAAGTCTCCAATAGCCTGTTTGGAGATGATTTTCGTGACGCACTGGCCAAGTTACTGGCCCATATAGAAGAAATGAATGACTTAACACTAGCATCGAAATTTTGAATTTCGTTGTTTATGCTGAGTGCATCAGATTTACAAACTGATTTCAGAATGAAGAAGGTTAATCTTGCCTTCCCAGGACTAGTTTTAACTTCCTAATCCGAAATGAATGCCTGTAGTTGAAACGAAGCTGACTACATATGGAAAGCAAGTGACGTCTTTCAAATTTCTTGCGTTAACAGTATGTGGCTGGCGCTTGGAGTTTTTGGTTAGTTACTTCCATCTCCTCTGTCTTCTCTATGTTCACTGACATCAAATTTAGTGTGAATTATAACAATCACTCAGAATCCGAGCGTATAAATAACAAATAAAAGACATCGAAGAATCTAGTACTGCTTGAAATTTCTCATGACAAATCATTATGATGAATATTTTGACCAGCAGCCACAGACATTTTTGTTCTAAGAGTGTCGGCTAAGTTCAACAATAGCGTTCCAGGAGTGCGGACGCTTCAGTTACTTTGAACGCATGCTAGTCGTTGGTTAACGGCACCTGTCATTATTATAGCTGAAATGTCAACACCCTTTACCAAATAAAGAGGAAATTTCACCTAGATCAAGTTTTTAAGTACTGTTTGGACAATGTGTTAATAGCTCGTTAGGGTTAGGCTTACCTTTAGGTAATTATGGTTATGATTAAGGTTAGGGTTATGATTAGGGGTACAGTTAGAGTTGATGTCATTTATTTTAATTTGTTTTATTATCCACATTTCCCTGGTAAGTAGTTGTCAGTCCTCTTAGTGGAAATCACAGTAACTCAAGCGAAGGTTTTTGCGGAAGACTGAACAACAGGATAAGAGAGATAAACGGTTTACAAAAACAGCTCATCTTCAGTCACCTCGTTGAATACATGCACAGAAAGTAGTCTAACTTAGCAACTGATACTCCTCATAATAACTTGGACGTACTTTTAAGTCATGTCAGAGAAAGATGCCCTGTTTAATGTGTGTTTTCATGCATTTTCTTGTAAATATACGTCATTTTGTGTGCGAAAGTCGCTTATTTTTATGATTAGTCGCCTGAAGGTCACTCGTGTTTTCGCATCCTTTGGGACTCTTTACCAGAGTGTCTTGGCTGAAATAAATTACACTAGATTCTGTGGATTAGCTAATTACAGTGACTGTAAGGTAAATAGTCACTTGGATGTTATACTGCTAGTCAGTTATTGAATGTCTTTCAAGACTATACGAGGTTGTTAATTTAAGCCAGCAGATGGAGTTACTGATCCACTGACTCTAAATATTCTAATATCAGCTATTTACATAAACTACAATCCGTAATTATACAATTGGTGGATGGTGGCTAGCAGTGGAATCCAGTGGATTCCACTGCTAGCCACCATCCACCAATTGTATACTAACTAAATGCCCGGACATCGTCGAAGCATCTGCACAAGGAGCCGACATGTCAACCTGAGACCGAGCACTTCGGTCCAATCAATCGACGGGAAAAACAAAGATTCAATTCTACAATCCGTAATGTACGAATTATAATGAGCGTAGTATTTTTGAGGCCTAACAGTAAACAGCACGTCGCTAAGTCATAAAAAAGAGAGTCAATTTGTATTTAAACACATTTATTCCAATGTATTTGATTAGCCTAGCGACATACTGTTTACGTTCAAAGTCAAAATTTGAAAAGCCAAAATTAGACCAGCCTATTAGTCTATATATATATGATACCTTGAGTGAACATATTCTTGTTTGTGCTTGTCCAAGCCTACTCAGACAAATTGATATGACTCAGAGATATTTTAGTTAACGAATTGATTATCCGCATTTATGATCTTTGATAAATCTTCACATATACACTTCACTTGAAAATAAGTTGGACTAGATACCAATTTTACTATAGATTGTATCTCTTCAGACTTGCACACTTTTAGATTCAGGGTGAAGTTAAACTATCTTAACCAAAAATCAAAGTGACCTTAAAAAGCCAATCAGAATTTAGATGCTAAAGGAGTCGCAAAATCTTTAAAAAGTGTTAAAACAATTAGTCCCTTTGATAAATTTGAACAAGGCATTAAGAAGACAAATTTCGCGAGATGATATCATTTCGTAGTTTCTTTACAACCGCTTTACAACTAACATGGTTAACAATGATAAACCCCAATACTTACCTTAGCCCTAATCCTAACCCTGACGAGCTATTAACACATTGTCCAAACAGTCTTTAAAAACATGATCTGGGTGAAATTTGCTCCTAAGATGGTGAATAGCGTTGATATATCAGCTGTGATAATGACAGATGTCGTTAGTCAACGACTAGCATGCTTTCAAAGTCATTGGAGCGTTCACACTCCTGGGATGCTATTGTTAAACTTTGTCGTGTCTCAGTTACTTTAAGGATAATTCGTAGAGAAATCATGCCACCATGTGCGGCAGGTGTATTCATTCAGGTGACTGTCAATCATGGTACATTAACATCTGTTGATATTCCTAACACTGTTCTTTAACCCACCCTTAACCCTAACACTAACCCTACATAAGAGTATAGATTCCTAGAGAAAAGTACCTCGAAAATAAGTAGGATACTATAACTACCCTCAGCAGATCCAAAAAGGCAGGGATGATCCAATTTGGAATAACCTTTCATAGCGTTCTCTAAATTTGATTGGTTCTTGAAGATTAACTTTTGACAGATCTTGACTTTGGCTATGATAGTTTAACTTCACCGATCCTGCAGCGATCATATTAAAAAAAATCAAGTTACCTAAAGAACAAGTGTTATTATTTAGCCATTGTGTCACAATACACAGGAACAATTTTTTAATGCGTGGAATTTTTACAGTGGAATATGTAATCTATGTATGATGAATTTTATTCTATGCCTTTGAAGTTCACCAGAGGAGTTGGTTAAAACTTAGATAATCTGAAGTGGTTCATCCCTCTGACTTGAGTCTAAGATAGTACACCACAGGTGAGCTAGGAGGCCAAAAACAAAAGAAACAAGTATCAGGTGTGTAGATCGCTTCGATCCAACTGGTAGTCACTATTTAGTGAAATCAAAGATTTCCAGTTGCTCATGTTGTTCAGTACTTTGCACTACGACCTTAACAATTAGTTTTCAAGAGTTTGTTTGTAGGGATTTTATTTGTTTCCAGTTTGATCACAGATTCAGATCATTTAGAGAGCCATAGAAAGCCAGAGGGTACTAGATAACTAGCTGTTTCGTCCTAGTTCAGGACTCATCAGCATCCAGTACTCCGTTTTCAGCGGTTCTCTAACAAATCAAATCCCTACAAACCAGCTACAGGAAAAAGTTAACTGCACTTCTAGGAAGAAGTTGTGACTAGTGAAGTACACGAAGCCAGGAGTGAGGACAAATACTCCCCACTGATAGCATTGGCTGATGCCAATTGTGCTAAAATCACGAATTGATAGAGGTTAAAATTCATGGACTGGCCATTGAATCAGGTCGCAGTGACTGAGTGGTTTACTACCTTGACTTGTAACCGTAAGACTCTGGATTCGAACGCATTGGAGTGTGCGTGTCGACGATGAGCCCAAAAATTGATCTCTAGCGTCACGTATATTCATGCCTTTTAATATTTTCTAGCGGATTTCGGTTGGTGATTGAAAATGGTTTTGCATACATTTGTGTAATGCAGAAGGGAACGGAACAATTTGAAAAGTTGACTAGTTCACCGAAAAATGGAAACTAGTCATTTATTATTTTATTAAATACTTATTTTACTTGAAAATTTTCTCATCCCAGTCATTAATTTTCATATTTTCATATTAGTTACGTCAAGAAATTGATAGACGTCTAGCTGAGAAAGAAGAAGAATTTGAAGCAACACGTAAAAATCATCAAAGAGCTATGGAATCACAACAGGCTAGTTTAGAAGCTGAGGCTAAGGGTAAAGCTGAAGCAATGAGAGTTAAGAAAAAACTTGAACAAGATATAAATGAATTAGAAGTCAGCTTAGACGGTGCTAATCGTGCTAGAGCTGAACAAGAGAAAAATGTTAAGAAATTCCAACAACAAGTACGTGAATTACAAACTCAATTAGAAGATGAACAACGTCAACGTGATGATATACGTGAACAATTCCAAGCAGCTGATCGTCGTGCAACTGTACTAGCCGGTGAATTAGATGAATTACGTATTGCATTAGATCAAGCAGAACGTAGTAGAAAAATTGCTGAATCTGAAAGAGCTGAAGCATCTGATCGTGCTACAGAAATGTCTACACAAACAGCATCACTTGCTGCACAGAAACGTAAACTTGAAGCTGATTTAGCTGCTATGCAAGTAAGTTAATGATTAAGCCTGAAACATATAACGCTTACTTTCCCCTTTATCTTGGATGATATATATTATTAATTTATATCATTATATTATCATTATTTTATTCCTTTACGTTCCCAGTGGAACATAAGGATTCAAGCTGGAGGCTTGAAGTTTCTGTAGCAGTAGTGTTTATTTTACAGGATGGAGTTGCTAGCCTCATGCCCAGCCTTTCCTCTTCACCAGCTTTATTTATGGTTTAGCGTGGTAGCGGAGTGCGTCCGTGGCCGGTGATCGAACCCCGGGTCGTGTGCATGGTCGGCAAGGGTCCTAACCACTGTTCGCAAACAAAAAGACCTTCTGTCACATCAACTGTTAAGATGCACTAAAATTATGCAGATTCATAGTGCATGTAAATACTTTTAATGCTAGCCTATTTTATAATCTTTAATTTTTTTATTGTTGAAAAACGCAGCTTGAAAAGATTTCTACACTTGATGATTACGATGGCATTCGCATGGTATCAGACGAACTATTTCCAATCAGAAACTTTGCTTTTCCCTCTGATAAAACTAAATTTCTGACTTCAAGTCATATTTTTAACACGAAACGACTCTAGTTAGATGAGTATTGAAAACCAGTGATGACAAGGGTATTTGTTTCATCCCAGGTCGGAACTCTTCAACAGTGTACACTGACAAATCCAGGATCTTTAGATTAAGAACACAGTGAACAAGCAGTTTAAAATCGCTAGACTTGTGAATTCTATCTTCTTCTGTAGATTCGTGATACTGTGCCACCCACACTGGCTTTCAATCATTCTCTAACTGACGTACTTTCGTGAAAAATTCATACTAAAATTAATCAAAATCTCTTCATCGTTTACCCGCATGAAATATAATCGACATTAGGAAGATGACAATTCTTGTATTGATTTCATTATTTGCAATTGAGCTGATCCATTCTGAAAATAGGCGTGTTTTGGTCTTTGTTGAGTACTTCTTAGAATTATAACCTTCTTTCCTCGTCTTGTATTCAGTAGCTTCTTTCCCTACGATGATATTACGTAATCATTGTTTCCCTGAAAATGATCTAGAAGTTCTGTTTATCATTTACAACTATTGATTCTAATATATAGAGAAACTTCAGTTTAACAATCTAGAAAACACTTAAAACCTAATCGATTTCATTGAAAATGTAATTATCAGTTGAGTTTTGTAGTCAAAGTAACAGATTAGAAAACTGAGCTATTTTTAAAACTTTCCTCTAAAGCTGTTTATTGTTTTTTGAAAATGAAATCATCTAAACCTGAGTACATATATAAAGTAACCTAGTAGATACTGACTAACAGTGGAATTCAGGATGCGCATTTCGTCCTATTTTTAGGACTCGTCATCTGAATATACTTGAAATTCCAGTGTTATATGGTACTCTAACTGAAGCTCGAACTCAGCATCCATTAATTGAAACGCCAAAGCGTTACCCACAAGACTGTGAGAGTCGCCTGTTTTACAGAGGATATCATTTATGTTATTCAGTAATTTAGCTCGGGGTTCGATCCACCGCCGACGCACTGCTTTACCTTGCTAAGCCAATAATAAAACTGGTAAAGAGGGAAGGTTGGGTAGGAGACTAGCAACTCCATCCCGTAAATCGAAACTTAAAAGCTCTAGCTTGAAGACCTATCTTCCATTGGGAACGTAAACGAATTTAAAAAATTATTTAGCTCAGATGTTTGAACCCAGTTACCCGGAATATGTTTGTCACGAATCAGTTTATGAGTTACACTTATTGTTTATGTCACTGATGATAGTACTACGCAGAGTCGTTCAGGTTGAAGTTTGGTGGGAATGGATTCGAAACTGGGATATGCTGTGTAGAAGATTAGTGCATAAGTCAATGAGCCACATCTTCGATTAGTGGGAAAGTTCCAGAATAATTTCTGGTTAAGTGTCGAATTAATAAAATTACAATTAGGAATTAAAATGCCATAATAATAATAGTGCCAGGGGGACGGATAAAACTCAAACAAAGTAGCATCATAATTACTGAGATGATTGACGTGTTGTGCAATTGGGAGTTAGAAATGTAGAAATAGTAAAAATAGACAGGATGTTTCGATAAAAATTCTGGTGCGATCACAACCAATGTGACGAACGATTGTTTATGCAATTAGGCATCAAGTATGTAGAAATAATAAAATGAAAAAATAGACAGGAAGTTCAGATATGAAAATACGGTAGTGTAAATGGGGATTAAGAAAAACTGAAAATTAACGTGAATAAACAGGAAGTTTCGATAGGAAAGGCAATGGGATGGTCATTAATAAAAGAATTACCTGTCTATGATGGCCATGCCAGGAACAGTAGTTGGACGTATTTCTTTTGGATACATAGCGTGAGTTTGAGATTTTGGATAGCTAGTGCCTCGGCTATGCCTTGTTTATCATGGCATTTTAACTCCTAATTGTAATTTTATTAATTTAGCCCTTAACCGGAAATTATTCTGGAACTTTTCCACCCATTTATCACAAATAGATGAATGTACAGCCTAGTTGATGACTTCGTCGAAAAGAAAATTTTCTTCGCTGCAACCGTCTTTTTAATAATTCCTATGATCCAATGTGTATATTCCGTGACCTTCAATTGGCTTAGATTAGTAAATCTACTTTTCATATCATTTTTCTTTCCACCTATTTGTATAAAACAAATCTCACTGTTTCGTTCTGTCGATGATGATATAGGCTGATCTTGAAGAAGCCGCTAATGAAGCTAAACAAGCTGATGAAAGGGCGAAGAAAGCAATGGCTGATAGTGCACGTGTATTTGAAGAAATTCGTCAAGAACAAGAGCATACACAACATGTTGAAAAGGCTAGAAAACAACTTGAAATACAAGTAAGCATATCACAACTGTTTGTTTGTTTCCCTCACCCCCTTATATTTCATTATAGTTGAACAGTTTGTATCTACTCTTGCCTACTTTATTACTGTGGCTCCATGAGTGGGAGGGCGAGGGATTAATAGAGGTTAGACATTATCCTTGAGTGGTTGTATTAAGGGACTACTCTCAGGACCTTTGACCTGAAGTTTGATCCACAAGGCAGGAAAGTGATGCTAGGAGCTAAATTCACATTGTTACCGGTGTCTGGAACCAATTTATTGATCGTTTACGGATCCTGGAAGTCATATCCAACATACTTTTCTATCTCCTCTGAGTGAATTTCAGTGATGATAAACTGAAATTTCCATTCGCTCTTTCACTTTTGTAGGAATACTCTTCGTTATGTGTGGGTGGAGAGTTAGACAAATACACTGTCACATGAGGTGCTTAAAATAGGGGGAGGGAAAGACTAATGTCTCTTCATCCTCAATCATAACTCGATCGCTGAAAGAGGCGAAGTAATCCATTGAACAAATAGTAGTTCATCAAAATTAAGTATAGTTTAAATAGTTTGCTTATCGTATATTTACAGTTTGAATGGATAGTGTTAATGAATTATTTTATTATGAATTTATTTATTAATTAAGGTGAAAGAACTTATGGCTCGTTTAGAAGACAGTGAATCAGGTGCAATGAAAAATGGTCGTAAAGCAATGGGTAAATTAGAACAACGTGTACGTGAATTGGAGACTGAATTAGAAGCTGAACAACGTAGACATGGTGAAACACAAAAGAATTTACGCAAAGTTGATAGACGAATGAAAGAAATTAGTTTACAAGTATGTGTATATTTTGATAATTTTTTTATATCCTTAAATTTTATTTTTTATAAGAATGAATCATGTAAACATAATACTGCATATGTTTCAACGATTTATAATAGCCAAATTTCAGTCAACCTTTCTTTTCTGTCCAACCCTAAAGAGTCCCGAACTAGGACGAAACAGATGTTCAGTACTCCCTGGAGGTTTTTCAGCGGTTCTCTAACCTATGTCAGCTCAAGCTGAAATCCTGTAACTAACTCCCTCTCTTTTATTAAACAAATCAGTGTCGTTCTTATATCGTTTATTGAGTAATTCATATAAGGGGTTTTGTTACTGTGTTGGAGTTAGCTAACAGTAGAATCAAAGACGAGCGTTTCGTCCTATTTAGGACTCGTCAACCTGGATGTAACCAACTAAGTAGTATCATATTTATCTTAAACCTCCGTCGGAAGGCTCATACTAGGAGCTGACGTGACAGCAGACACTGGTTATTTCGATTCAATCAAGAGATAAACAAAAAATTTCAACAAATAGCAACTTGTGGGATATTTATCCCAAAAAATTTGATTGGTAGAGAGTTTAACACTGGTGAAACTTGTGGCTATTTTTTCCTCCATAATTTATTGACAATATAGACGTCTTTTTGACAACAAGAAAATCCTCTTTTTTCCCCTCTCTTATTCTTCAATAGGCTGAAGAAGATAAAAAGAGTCATGATCGTATGCAAGAATTAGTTGAAAAGTTACAGGGTAAAATTAAAACGTATAAACGACAAGTTGAAGAAGCTGAAGAAATTGCTGCTATCAATTTGGCTAAATATCGTAAAATACAACATGAAATTGAAGATGCTGAAGAACGTGCTGATCAAGCTGAACAAGCCTTACAAAAGTTGAGAGCTAAAAATCGTTCATCTGTTTCAACAGCTCGTGGTGTTAGTGCTGCACCAGCTGGAGCACCTGCTCATGGAGTAAGTAATGTTTTGGTAAAGAGAAAAAATTCAAACAAATACTTCAAACCTGTTACGTTTTTTTGTAAGCCATTTGGAAGGTCTATCTCAGCATTAGCGAGGATTTTTTCGGTAAATTAATGTAGTATTATTCATCAGTCTTGTACTATATCATCAGACGGTTAAGAGGCGAAGATTTGGGCTTAGACAGAGAACAAGATGCACGTTTATTCTGGGTTTGCGGTTAAGAAAGATCATTTAAAGAATACTGACATATGTGCAGAAAATGATTTATGTTTTTTCTCCTTCACGTTCCCAGTGGAACATAGGACCTCAAGCAAGTGGCTTGAAGTTTCTATAGCAGCGTTTAATTTTACAGGATGGGTTCGCTAGCCTCATGCCCAACCTTTCCTCTTTACCAGCATTATTTCTGGCTTAGTGAGGTAGAGGAGTACGTCGGGCGGGGATCGAACCCCGGACCATGTTCATGGTTGGCGAGCGTCCTAACCATTGTGCCACCAACGCACTTTCTAGATATTTTGTTAGTAAAGAATTTTTGGGACACCAGCATACCTGTGGATTATGCAACATAATGGGTGTCATATATCCAGATGGCAAAGATCCTGAACCTATCACTGGTTTCAGAAGACTAAGCCTTATATACACAGAATTCTAAGAGCTGTAACCGATGCGAAACAACAGAAAACGGTTGGACAATACAACTTTATATTCTTCAACTGATAATAAGAGTTACAATTATTACCAAGTGAAAAGTATGTAAATAAACGTTAATAGGATGTATAATTAGACTTCTGACTTTATTTCTCCATTCATCTGCCAACCAGTATAGCATTAATCAGCAACAGCCTTCTTGTCTCCTACAAAATAGAGGTCATTTGGAATAAACAAACAATTCAATGTTCAGCATTATTGACAATGGGTTAAAGGCGTTTATACAGTGATTCCTTTATAAATCTATATGCATCAACAAAAATTTGAAGTTGAGGATTAATATCTAATTTTGTTAACGGACAAAATATTATCTGTAGAACTGTCTGGTTTTAAGTTTGTATAGATCTTTAAGAAGTTGATCCAATTTCCTTTTGATAAGCCATTTTATTACTATTTTGATTGGATATAACTGAGTAACTGATTGGAATGTGTGTAGTCTTTTGTTTGGTGCGGATTGAATTGTATCAGTCAAGTTTGAAATGCGGCCATCATTCTAGGTGGCTTGCCCCACTACTGTACACTTTGAACTGTTGATATTAGATAGTTGCAGGCATTCGGCATCGTGATGGTAAGCCACCTAGTGGTATGTTGACAACATGGCAAACTTAATTGATAGAGTTCAGTCTGCATCAAACGAATGGACTAGATATAACACTAGTTACTAGTGTACAATCTAAATCAAATATTTATAATTCATAAGTTGCATAGATATTGGAAAGGGGTGTGTAATTATAAGATTAATAGGCTAATTTAAAACATTACACAGCATGATGTGAAATTCAGTAAGACAGAATTCAATATTGTGAAAGCAATTCGGATTTAGAATGACAAGTGGGACAAGCGAAAATAATTCAAAGTGAGAATAGTGAGGACAGTAATAATAGTAATAATCGTAGTAATGAGGGAAAAGCACACAGTTTAATTAAATAAACAAAATAAACGAATGAATAAAGAAGTGTGTTTCCCCCTACGGTCAGGCCAAGGCAGAAGTAGCGATTATACATACTTCTTTTGTACACAGAGGTCTGGCTTAAATTCATCAATGTCCAAAACCTCCACTACCTTTAGAAGCTTGTAGCGATGAGAACACGGCAAGTTAGCATGAATTTGGTGGATGACCTTCAAATCATGGTGAGGGTTGGTGGAGTAACAGGGGTCGATCAAGTGTTCTAGAATAGAGCTGTGCACACTCTTCCTTTCTCCCATGTAAAATCATGCTGGAATATATTAGTTCCAAAGCAGGCCAGGGTAGCAGTAGTGGTTGAACCTGTTTATCAACTTCCGGCTGTTTTAAGTAAATAGCAATAACTTCTGCTACGTTTGGAGTATTCAGTAATTTGGACGTTTTTGGCTATTTATTTGTAACCCGATAGATGATAAAAAAAGATCTGTCAATATGTATCTTTATAACCTGTTTGGACCATGTGGGCAAATATTGAACTGCTGATGGTTTATATAATATCTTTGGTCACACCTCTAGGTGTTCTTTTAGCACGGAAAATGAAGTCCCTAGAGCAACTGTCGGCTGGGCGTGGGGCGTGCGCCTATAATCTAGCTACTTGGAGGCCAGAGTGTGGAATTTCGCGGGACCGGGAGTGCTGGCACATGGGTGCTCATGTTGATCGAGCGTCCACGCTAAGCACGGTGCCGATATGGATGACCTGTCGGAGGACGGGTTGTCCTGGTCGACTAGGGACGGGTGCACCGGCCCAAGAGGGAAACCCAGCAGGCAAAAGTCCCCGCGTGGTGCAGTAACAGGATAGCACCTATGAATGGTGGCCATGTGATATCCAGGTCCGCGCGTATCACTGAATATGTGCGTCAGTAGCACAGTGGTAGAATGCTAGCCAACTATATGCGTGATACCGATTCGATTTCCAGCCGACGCATTCTTAAATCTCCCTGATTAGCCAGTAGTAAGCCAAGTGAATGGGAGAAGGCTGGATGTGAGGCTAGCAACACAACCCTCTTAAAAAGGAATAACACGACTGCTATTGACACTTCAAAGCTGAAGTTTGGAGTTCAGAGTTCCACTCATGAACGTTAAGGAATAAAGCAATACTAATGAATAATATCACTGAATATAAATGCCTACCGTTTATTTCTTTTTTTCTTATAGAATCGTTCTCGTAAGCCAACTGCTAGTCTAGCACCTGAAGAAGAATAAATGCATCCAGTTCAAATATCAAAACAACTTCAATATACTACTAATATGAAATGTACTTTACTCAAAGAAAAGTAATTGGAATCACCTTCTGCAATGCTTTTTATTGTTCATTTTACACCTTTTGCAAAAGCCCTATTCGTTCATTCTCATTCATTCTATCATTTTATTTGTTTCCAGCTTTATTTAGCTTAGAATATTGTATTGTACTCAGCATACTTTGAGGAGGATGTTGACGATATTTGATGATAAGTGTGTTGTGTGAATGTTAGACGATAAATGTCAGAAGATGGAAAAAACAAGTGGAACACTGGAGTACCTGCCTGCGTGCATATACATACATACACACACACACACGAACACTATTCCTTCACCATTATTCTACAACCTTTTCTGTCCTACACCCCTAACCTACCTTCATTGAATCTATTGAAGGTGTTTTTTTAAAACAAAACATTTTACAGCGGTAGATTCGACAATTTTAGATGAGCCCCATATCTGTTTCCACCCCGCCAACCAACCCCTCTTCCCCAGCCTTATAATTGTTGTGTTTAGGCTCATCCAAAATAATTTCATAACTTTTCGTCAATTTCGTGGTTTTGTTTAATTACCTGCTCATTCAAACACCCATTCACACTAAACACTATAGATGATAAGTCGTTGAGCACTTAATTGACTGTTTTGCTGTTTATAAACATCGATGATAGACAATAGACACACTCTTACACACAAACACAGAGACGGATAGACAGCACATGTTTCTGTCTTCCTACCTCTCTCTCTTTATGTCAAACTATGCACCATACCCTAATAAATATATACATATATTTTCATTATCCAACCTGCCTATGTAATGTTCGCCTTCACTGCATTTTCCCCTGTTTACTTTGTGGTGTTGTTTTATTTTCTAAACGGGGATGCTACTACTACTACTACTACTACTGTCACTATTAGTAATATAGTAAAACTAAAACAAATAAACAATATCCCCTTTTCATTTTTCCCCACTGTTTATCTTTTTCCCATAGTGTTATATTTAACGTTTTACAATGAGAAGTGTTATATTAGTGAATGAATTACCTTACACTAATAATTTATGTACTACTTACTTACTACCCAACAATACCTGGCCACCACCACCACTACAACAACGACACAAACAGCTGTTTATCGTTCTTTCTACTTTCAATCTTTTTTTTCAGTTAACAATGTGTTTACCGACCTATCTATCTATCCATCTATCTGTCTATTTGATATTCATATTCCCCCAATACCACTGTTACTATTATTATTATTATTAATAAAAGTTTATTTACCTAGTTTAAAATATATTTTAAACAAAAACCCACAAAAACAAGCCAACATTTAATCCCGAAAGAAATAAAAGCGTCTTTTTGTTGAATAGCTATTGTTATTATTATTATTATCATTATCCCTTTTTTAATTGTCTTATTTGTCTTCGGCTAATACTATATCATGATGGCAGATACTCGCCAATGATATAGACTGGTGGTTAGAATTCATTGACCTGTCACTGAATTCCTCATCCCGGTGACTGAATAGTTAACGAGTTCATCTCTTGTAGCCTGAAGGTCCTGAGTTCTATCCCTGGTGTTGAGATTATAAGTGCGTAGTGTTGAGAATTCTCATACTACGACTGAACAGCTGTTCAGTACTCCTTCATAGTTTTCACTGGTCCCCTAACTGATGTCAGGCAGTTCGTGAACGAAATTGAAGTCAATCAAACCCCTGCAGTAGGCCTGATTTTATCTCCTGGTTTAGTAGGGAAAAGAAGATTAGACGGGGAGGATGGAGGGAAATGATTGTTGTCAGGTAAGCTTAAGACACAAAGCGCAATCATTGATGAACAGGCAGTTAGATTTCAACACTAAATGACATCAGTTACATAACTATAGAAAGTCGGGCAGGTACTGGATAGAGTTTATTTGTCTTAACTTAAGACTTCACAGAAGTATGCTTTCCCCATCCCCCATGACCCCTCCGAGAATGAATACTAGAATTTTCACATTATGAAGTAAGCAATTTTGACCATCTGGACATTTGGAAGGGATTTAGTAGCCTAGGTATTCTAACTTTTGCTAATTTAAATTCCACTTTCATAATCTCCCATAGGTTATAATAATTCCCATTAAAACATAAAACAAAGATCTCCTTGTGATGACTTCATTTTCATAGCTGTGCAACCGTACCTTGTACGTGAATTATAATATGAACTAGCAAGTAGCTTTGTTGTGTGTGTGTGAGTGTTAAAATGTTACACTGAGTGAAAGAAACCACAGGGAGGTAGTATCGCTTAGTATGATCGTGAATCACAATTTGTGACTGGAAATATGAATAAATAAAGGTCGAAAGAAAGTTCAATAGACATAGGTAAACAGATAACAAGATGGTTAAGTATATTCCACAGTGTTACTGTTCAAATGCAATAAGATAGAAAAAATAGGATAATTGGGAATAAATCATTTTTATGAGTTTGACCATGGATTGATATCAGTTAAAGAACCCTCGAAAACCAGACAGCTGTTCCATCCTAGCTTGAGAACCATATGCAGTACGGACCCACTGGGGTGAGAATCCAGGATTTCCCGGTTACAAGGCAGGCTCGTATACCATTCAGCCACTGGAGCCGATTCAATGGCCCCTTGGTGATTGCCAAACTAGGTGGATGCAACAGCTGTCCAGTACTCCCTGATGGCTTTCAATGGTTCTCTAACTGATATTGATCCGTAGTCGGACTAGTATAAACAGATCTAATGCTTACAAAACAACTCTTGAAAAAGAATAACTAATATATGCCGTTGCAAAAGAGTGGCCCAAGTGGTCTAATGGATAACGCTTTGGTGTTTGGAACTATGCTCACTGGGTTTGAGCCACAGTGGTCAAACCATCACCCACCGGGGAATGCAGGTATATCCAGCTGACGGGTCCCAAATGGCATGAAATGCACATCCTAAATTCCATTGCTAGTCACCATCCACTAAATGAATTGTGAAGCGTCATAAATTATTTCAAATAATCCTAGTGTGTTTAAGAGAAATATCAAAACAAGATTTTTCTGAGCGTTAACCTGTGTAAGCAGAATCATTCGGATTTTATTAACCATCAAAATACATACATATTCAAATGTTGGTTTGTAGGGATTTGGTTGGTTTACAGGATTTCATCGTGAGCTGACATTAGTTAGAGAACCATTGGAAAACCTTGGAGTACTGGACAGCTGTTTCGTCAGAAAAGTAGAAAAATATATAGTCAGAAAAAATTACATAAACTGAAGTGAGTTCCTTTAATGGTCACTTATCGGCAGACCTTTGTAGCAACCGTAAAATGTAAACAATCACCACATATTAGTAATGATGCATGTCAAACTGTCATGTATGCGTATTTTTTAAGAAATTATACCAGATGAGGGAATTGAGTCATAGGTATGAATACATAAAATAATAATGCTTTGAAATATGTAATTAAAATATATGTGAATATAATCATAGTTAAATGTCAAGCGGCAAAACGATTAATGAAAATACAAACGTTACGTAACATTGTGTGAAATTTAATAACATAGAGGTTAACGATACAAAACAAAATTGATTTAGAATGACAATCAGAACAAGTGAAATAATACCGAGGACAATTCATGGTGAGAATAGTAATTGTAACAATTTACATAATAAAATAAGGGTGTACAAACTGAATAAAGAAGACGAAAAACGAAAAATAAGTAGAGCAAAAATGTTATTAGGGATCACCATACTTTAACACAAAGGGATTAAGACCACGGGAGTTGGGGAGGGGGTGAACGAACTTTTTCTGTAGACAGAGATCTAGTTTTTCTAATTCGATGGTCACAGGCTCACTGATACAGATGAGTTGGAAACGTTATAATTTGGGCAAATTATTTTTCGCCTCTTAGATGACTTTAAAAGTTGAGGCTGTAGTCAGAGAGTGATCATTATCGATTAGATGTTCAGTGATCGCGCCTCTTATTGCTCCACTTCAGCATCTTCGTAACCATGCAGAGTAGTGTTCTTGTATGCTATTGGACAAAACTCGAGTCGAACGACCGATATACCTAGCTCCACAAGAGCAGGTGAATTGATAAGCGCACATAGAGTTGGACAACTGTGGGATCTTGACCTCCAGGTTATCGAACAGTAATGATCGAATGGCAAAGGCCATTCTCAACGATGCAACAGGGAATGCGCTTTTCCGAGAATTTGAGACCTATTTTTAAGGATGTCGGCAGCTAAGTCACCTTTCAGTTCAAAGTTCATGTACAGCATTTTCTTGGTTGCAGAGGTTTAGTCACATTTCATAGGTTTTGACTGTATTTTCTTGTCTATAAACCGTGAGGGAAATCCATTTTCCATTAGGGCTTTTCTTAGAAAATTTAACTCCGCCTTTACTGCATTAGGACTACATGTGTACCAAATGTAAATAGGAGGTGATGGAATCAGGTTTCGTTTTCGACCAGTGGGTACCCAGCTGTATAAATTTGTCAGCTAACCATTCCCTAACGGCTTTCTATAAATCTACCTCTCCTTGATAAATTCACATCGAGGAAATGAATACTAGACGCGTTCTCCATTTCGAATATGAATTTTATTGCTGGATGGCAACCATTAAATGCATTTAATATATAATTCAAATTATGATCACTGTTGCAAATAATAAAGGTGTCATCTACATGCTTTTTATACATTTGAAAGCTTTGCATTATTGACTTCAACTGGTCATTTTCTAGACTGGCCATAAAAAAGTTTTCAAGGAGAGAAAGAACGCACTGTAATACCATCCTTCTGTCTGTAGATTGTTTCATTAAAAGTAAAGTGTAAATTCAGTGTACATCTAAAGAGCAGTTCTTTCAAATCTGCAATGGGTATCCCTGCTTTCAAATTGTTGTCTTCAATATATTTGCATATGAAACATGTGGTTTCTGTCAATGGAACGCTCAGGAATTGGGATTCTACATCCAAAAACTATAT